TCATTAAGGATATTTATACATGAGCTATTACTTATGTTTAAACAAAGTGGTTTGACCAAGTAATTTCTTATTTAGAATTATATAAATAATCAGCTTTAAGCCCATATCTTTTTTGCTTTAGTTATGGTTAGTTTTAGTAGTCATCTCGAATAGGATGTACCATGATGCATAGTTTTTGCTAATCATACTCTTCTTGGTGATAAGACTAGAGAGAGAATTGAAGGAAAACTTTATTTATGAAGGTCAACATTTGAGTTTAAAGGTTTCATTTGAGTATATCTAAAACTAGATACATAGAGTGTAATTTTAGTAATATTAGATCTAGTGGTGGGATTGTGACATTGGATGATCAAATCATTAAAAAAGTGTACGTTTTAGTTATCGTTGTTTATTATTCAAAGCGATTGTGAAGCAGATGGGGATATTATTAACAGAACACAAGTTGGATGGTTGAAGTGGAGAAATGCATCGGGTATGTTGTGTGATAGAAAAATATCCCCAAATTTAAGAGAAAAAAATTATAAGATAACTGTGAGACCTGCAAAGCTTAATGATGTAGAATATTGGCCATTAAAAGTGCATGAAACAATTAACTTAAGTGTTGCATAAATGTGGATGCTCACATGGATGAGTGACTATATACTTAGAAATGGAATGCAAAATGAGTATATACATCAAAAGGTTGGAGAAGCTCTAATGACAGATAAAATTAGAGTAAGATTCACCTTACATTAATTGTTGGACTTTCTATGACCAAATTAATTAGGAGGGTAGATATATTAGATCCGGTTTTTGTTAAGAAAAGTTGAGGTAGACCTAAAAAGAGTTGTTTAAAAAGTATTATTAATGATATTTTTAATTAGATTTAAATGATAATTTTATTCTTAACAGGATATAATAGAGAAAATGGATTCATGTAAGCAACCCCACGTCGTGGGATAAAGGATCGATATTGTTGTAGAAAGCAAATTCCTCAAATCTTAAATCTTAAAAAGTCATTCACTTTATTTTGATATAAATATTATCTGAAAACAAAACCTTTTTTTTTTTTTTTTTTGAAATATTCAAAATTAAGGTGACCAACTAAGGTAAGCTTTAACTTGTTTATCAATGTAAAACTCATGGTAGACAGTAGTGTGTCCAAAGGAGTTGACTTTGAACTAGAGTTAAACATTTTTTTTTTATATAGCTAGAGTTAAACTATTATTTTTTTTTTTATATAGCTAGAGTTAAAATATTAAGGGTTTATTTTTTCTTGCATCAATTTTGTTTTTTACTTTAATTGTTATACATTCTGTTAGTGTATGTTTATTATCTTTATTTTATTTTTCAAAATAAATTTAAGATTTTTTTAAATACTTAAAAATAAATTTTAAATGTTTTCAATATTTTTAAAACAAGAACATATTAAAAAATATTTCATTATATATATATATATATTATTGCACATAAAAATATTTATTTATATAAATATACATATATGAATATAAATGTATAAAATTTATATATTTATTCACACATATAAAATATAAATACATATAACAACATAAACTCTATGTACTCTTCCTAATACTAAGATTTTCTCAATGTCATGGGCCTAATTAGGCCTGCTAAATGAAGCCTGGCCTTGAAGGCCCACAAATCTAACACGTAAGGATCTATTTCATTTCGCTTCTATTTTTTATATACATAAAATTATAATTTTGCATCTATTTTTTAAAATAAATTTAAGAGACTTAGAAATATTCATAATTTAAAATTGAATTTTTACAAACATTAATGTTAATATTAATGATTAATTAAGATAAGAATTGTTCAAGTTATTTTTTACGAATCTACCTAAGATTAATTTAAAGTATCTATGGAACAATTAATTTTTGCCACTTGTCATTACAAAATAGTAAATGCCCTAAAAATCTATCTAATACTTTTTGGATTATGTGTTCCAAGTCTTCATTATATTTTTTCTTTAAAAACAAAAAAATTACATAAAAAATATGAGAATTTTGAAATTATAGTGTTTCAAACAATTTCTCTTTTAAACTTTCATTAGCTCTAATTTTGAAAAATGATTGGTTTTTTAGCTGAAGTTGATGAGAAGGTTGATTGCTACAATTTGATCAATCATGAAAATAACTAAAGTCAAATAGTTTTATTTATGCTTTGTTTAGGACAATTTTCTTACTGCTTCTTAAAATAGTTTTTTAATACAGAGATTATAATATTTGTATTAAAAAACAACTTTAAGAAGCAGTAACAAAACCATCACAAACGAAACCTTAATCATTTACAACTTTGATGATGATTTTAATTTGAAACCCTAAACTTTAATTGCATGTTGCTTGATCTTTATGTTGGTTTATGTTTTAAATTTTCTTTAGTTGATCTTAGACTTTGTCTAAAAATGCCTATTATAATTTATCTCTTATTTAGATTTTGTTTGAGATGACTTTTTTTATTACTTTTTAAAATAGTTTCTTCAGTATAAATTTAAAAAAATATTATTCTAAAATCTGCTTGAAAAAATAGTATGAAGCATTTCTCACTAGTAAGAGAAGAAATAATAATAATAATAAATTAAAAATAAAAAGTTAAAAATATCTTACCATGTATATATATATATATAGTAAAATAAAGATTATGAATTGGTCCATAAAACATTTACTAGGTCGCTTTAACATTGATATTTTTTTGGGAGATATTTTCAAGGGTTTTATAGACTTTGAAGTTTATAATAATTTTTTAATTATTATTCAAAGAAAAATTATAAATATAATAAAACTATATATATATATATATATGAACATAATGAGAAAAGTTGTTTAACTCGTCAAAACGAAAATATATAATAGCTCATGACTCGCTTCAATTTGATTTTAATATTAATTGGTGAAAGAATAATATATTGCCAATTGACAAATGATGATGAGAACAAAATGATAAAAATTAAGAAAAAAATTGTGGTAGGACATACTGAAATAATTTATATTAGAATGGGCTTGAAACCTAGCTATTGTATTTGCTTTTATATTAGAGCTTTGCTTTCAGAGTAGAGCTGCATATATGAAAAGTTTGCATTGAATTAATCTCAAAGCAAATCCAATATATATACTTTTTAAAACTTATTATGTATAATATATATCTAGCTATTCTAATATAAATTTTATTTTAATTTAAGATGAAGATATCATTGAAGAGATCATCAATATAGACTTATGGTGTATAGCTCTTTCTATTCTAGAAGGTAAGATACATCATCTTCTCGTAAATAGCGTCAATGATTTTTAATTCGACAGAATACGACCTGATCGTGATCCTCAAGGTTCGCTCCATCTCTATTATTAGACCACTTCAAGCCATTGTTATTGTCAAACAATTGCTGAGCTCAGCAATTGTTTCCGGGAGGTAGCAACCAAACATTGCCATATGACCATTATCGTGATCATATCATCTTCTGATTACCTTCATTAAGTCATCACTTGGCCATCCTTATTGATTAACCACTAAATCATATCTGGAGCACCTCATGGTCGCCATTGTCCGACTATGAGTTTTTTATCATCATTGCATCACTTTGATCCTCTAACCACCCCTTAACTAATGCCACCTTATTAGAGTCCATTGATAATAGTTTACCTATTACGATCCTATGATCATCATCGCCCAACTATGATCCTTAGATCATGATTGTTTGTCTATAAATTTTTAACCATTGTCACCCAATATATATATAATTCATATTATAGATTTATATTTTTGTAAATTCATACTTAATTATTTGTTTTAGATTTTCCATTTTTATTATTATCATTTAATTTCATTTTAAGAGAGAAGTTTTAGAACTTTAAAAATTACAACTAATTATATTCTATTTGAATGATTATAAATATATAAATAATTATAAAATTAAGAATTTTAAAAATTAATATAATCATTTTTTATCTGAATATTCCATACAATTTTTTTTTTCAAAAAATCTTAATGGCAGTACTTCATCATACACACATTGTACAAATTTCTGCTAGTTATTTTATCCCACATCACTAGGAGATTTATATTATATTTTAATATAGCTTTTATTGTATCCATAAGTTAAGAGGCACGTGAGTGGTGGAACCATGTCGCCATGATTTGTTAGTGATTAATCCATAACAATTCAAAATTTTTGAATATATATTATTAAATAAGATATATTATATTTTAATTAATTCATTCAATAAAATATTTTCTATTTAATTAAATTATTTAAATATGTTTTGAATTGAATTAGTTAGTTTTTTCAAAAACAAGGACAAATTCAACGATTGGTCCGTTGAACCGGCACTTCAAATGGGTTCTTACCGATTTGATGCTGCATCAATTTTTCATGAGGATCAAACCGGTCATAGGACCGGTTCATGATCAAATCATTTGGTTCACTCCGATTTTCCAAAAACATGGAGATCTCATAACTTATTCTCAAATTATCATTTTTTTTTACTATTCCCTGTAAATATTTTGGTTTTAAAATTTTTCTCTTTACATAATAATTTTTTTTACATCGCTCAAATATAAAATATACAATATGCCAACTCAAATTTTTTTGGAGATAACAATTTCTACACGTGACAAAATTATGTTCTATTTTTCCGATAAGGAAAAGATTTTATGGCATTCAAAATATTAACAAAAAATCTTAAATTTTCGAGAAAAAAATTTATTTAAGAAAATTAAATACTTTTAAATTATTAAATAAATAAACATTGACTTTCTTAATTCCTGGCGTCCATCACCTCTATGATATCCGTCGACCCACCGCTAATCAGGGCCCACCACAGAACCAATTACAAAAATAATACTTCCATCCGCGAAAAACTATTTAGCCGACCCAAATACCCCCCACAATCCACGTGGAAATATGATGTCGTGTCACTCAATTATACGTCGGTAACGAATTGGGTGCAAATTAACAAGGGATAAAAAATAACAAATATTTTTTCTATAAGATGATCCTACTTTAATGACCATGCAGCAGCAACTGTAGTAACAGATGGCAAAGACGCCGGATCAGGAAGAGCAATACCGAGGATCCAAGCAGCCGGAAAACGGCAGCGCCGCCGGCAACAAGGCCGACGAAGAGGAATCATCTCCGATTGAACAAGTCCGGCTGACCGTATCGACAACCGACGACCCCAATCTTCCGGTATGGACGTTCCGGATGTGGTTCCTAGGGCTTCTATCCTGTGCCCTAATGTCCTTCCTGAACCAGTTCTTCGCCTACCGAACGGAGCCTCTTGTCATCACGCAGATCACCGTTCAGGTGGCCTCTCTTCCGGCTGGGCATTTCCTCGCTCGTACCCTGCCGCAGGCGAAGTTCCGGCTTCCTGGATTCGGCGATCAGGAGTTCTCGCTCAATCCGGGGCCGTTTAACATGAAGGAGCATGTCCTGATCTCGATCTTTGCGAACGCTGGGTATGCTTTTGGAAACGGAAACGCATATGCTATTGGGATCGTTAACATTATCAAGGCGTTCTATAAGCGGAACATCTCGTTCCTGGCTAGCTGGATTCTTATCATCACTACGCAGGTTTGTTTGTTTCCCTCGATGATCTCTCGGACATTTTGTCCTGTTCGTTTCTCTCCTTTTCTTAGTTGGTGCGCCCAAGGGATTTGACAACGAGTTTTATCTCAATTAAAATTTGAGCAACATTATCCTCAAAATATAATACAGATCTATATATTTTCTAATATAATTTATTGATTTCAAAGCTTGTCGTATTGCAAAATTTTTTAATCATGACTTATCTTGCATTCGTTGATCATATTTTTGCTGGGATTTTTTTTTTTTTTTTGGGCTGAAAGTGGGAGGCTAATGTGCTCTGCTCATCACAGGTGCTGGGGTACGGATGGGCGGGGCTGATGAGGAAGTACGTGGTGGAGCCGGCGCATATGTGGTGGCCGAGCACGCTGGTTCAGGTGTCGCTTTTCCGGTTAGTTCACCGTGCAACTTTTTTTTGCTTTTTTCCTTTTATTTTAATGATTATAATAAGTAATTATCGAATGATTTTGATTACTTTATCGATTCAAAACTAAAGCAAATTAAGATTCCAACAATTAGGCAACTTTTTTTTTTTTCAAAAAATTTCCATTAATATTGAGGTAACGGAATCACGGCGTCTGCGTGAGATTCCACGGATAAAAAGTTAAAGATTCATCTTAAAAAAAGGAAAATTTGAGACGCCATATTCATTTAAAACTAAACTTAATAATTACAAAATTCGTCGATATTAAAATTAATCTTACCAAAAAAAAAAAAAAAATTCAAGAGTTTCCTTATCACGCAACAGTGGGTCCGGGCTGTATGAATTTTATTATGAATTATTTAATTTATTTTATTTTATTTTTAAATGTCAAAATAAAATTGATAAAAAAATTCTTCATACAAATGGGAATATAATCTATTAATTACCTAAATTATATTTCAAAAATTGAATTAATTAATTATTTTATATCTCTTCACAATTATAAAAACCAATTTTGTTTTGAATGCTTTCAAAGTCTGAAGGCGGGAATTATGGAGTCAAATATACCAACTAAGCCATTTACACAGCAACCTTTTCATTCCTTCATAACTCTTATTAAATTATTATGTTGACTTAACAAGTCTGTTGGAGCAAGCTTTTCACAAACGTAATGAATATTCAATGATACTAACCGAAGTCATTCATTTCACATTGAAAGTCTTGTGAAGCAATTATTACAAGTCCATCAAAGAATTCCGTCAGTAGAAACCAATGAGAAGCCTCGGACAATAAAAATCTGATTATTCTGTGGAGTCATCGAACGCAGCTCTACATCCGGATATCAATTAGAATCAACCACGTCAGCGATACCGAGGTGCAATACCAATATGTATCGAGCCTCAGTACCACGTCGCAGGCTTAGGTATCCAGATGGAGTTCGACTTCTGCACAGAATAATTTTTCGGACAATAGAAGTCTTAGAAAAGAATGCTATTAAATTTATTCAAACCCAAATATTAAATTTATCAAGCCAGATTGCTTAACGATTCATAGTAATATTAATGTTATATATATTTTTTTAACGTGTTGTAGCTGTAACATGTGAGCTGATCACTTCAATTAACTTCGATTAATTAACTAGCAAACCGCAATGCTCACTTTGGAATTCCTTCTTGAATGTGCCGCCCTTTGACTGAGGCGTCATGTGTGCTGACAATATAACCAGTCATCTAAGAACAGTAATATTTTTTTTCAACTAATCTTGCTGATTTTATTAAATTAATTTCCCAACGGCCACAGATTGGACAAATTTTTGACGCCATGACCCCTCCCCTTGCTTGGCAAAAACAGATGAGACAAGCGAGTTAATTTCACTTTCCTTTGGCCTTGAATTGATCAACGTAACGTGCGTTCGGGCGGGTTGTATTTGGCCACTGGAGCATAACTTTTTTGCTTAATTGTTGTCATGATGGCTACCTTCTGAGTTTCTAATGCAACGATTTTGTTTTTCTTTTCTGCTTCCATTTAAACTTGATGTCATCTCTCTAAAAAACTATTTAATAAAATTGATCATTAGCTTACTTCGTAATCTGAAAAAAATTATGATTTGATTTAATTGACCAAGTAAAAACACGTTATCTTTTTGTTTCTTTCAGTTAACTCAATATGCTGATGTGTCTATATGATTAGGATAACATATCTTCGCTTCTTTATTAAAGAGTGTGCCATCTTTTTTAAATTAGAGCTTTTTTGCGTGCTAGAAAATTTGAGTCGGTAGAGTACATATCTTACGTCTTAGTATTATACAAAGATTTTACACGTATAGTTAAAATTAATAAAAACAGAGAAATTTTTACGTGGTGGAAAATCTGAAAAAAGTAAAATTACGGGGTCTGACCCAATTATAAAATATACTTGATATGGCATCACAAAATTAGCTTGATCGGGCATGAATCTCGAGGCTAAAGCTAGTTGGAAACTTCAAAAATTAATTCCGGGAGCACTCGAACTCCTATTTCAGCGAGCTTATAGTCAAACTGAGCGTCTAGAAAATACAAACCCAACGACACCAAGATCAACCCAATCCGAGCCCAAATGCGTCCGAATCAAGGGCTCAAAGCGCTGTTGGAAGGTTCAAACCGCAATTTGAGTTACCAAACGGTCTCCGATTTTGACGAACTTATACTCGAATCGAACGGCTCGACAAGAAGAATCCAACGAGCCCAAGATCGCCGAATTCCGACATCATTAAGGTCTTCAAATGCCTAACGAACGGTGAATGATCAAAGGATTCAATATCGGCCGTCCATTCAAAACACTCCCAATTCGCCCCTGATCTCACGCCTATTTACGGGCTATGCCACTCCAGAAAAACTATAAATAGAGCCTTCATTCTACACCAAAGGGGGGAAGTGAAGAGAGAGAAGAAGAAGAGGAGAAAGGGGAAAAGGAGAATCCTCTCCTCCTCGACCACCGCCGGAGCTCTTCCCGCCGTCCGAACACGCCGAGATTCTGTGTAATATTCGGGAGAACGCAGGAATTCTTCCCAACTTCCACATGATGCTGAAATTCTTCCCAATTTGGAATAGAGTTCCCTCATGACGCCGAAACTCCGCCCAAGTGAAGCCGGAGTTCTCTTTTGCTGCCAACAGACGTCAGACTTCTACCCGACGTCGAACCTTCACTCTTCGCCAAGTTTCTACCCGGCGCCGGGCTTCTACCGGTTATCGGACTTCGCTGGACGTCTATGCGAAGATGGATTTCTTTCCATTGTTGGACTTCTACCTGACGCTGTCCTTCTGATCTTCGTTGTCAGACTACAGTCTTCCGACCTCCATCGCCCGCCGACTACGGTCCTCCTGACTTATGTCGCCCGCCGACTACAGTCTTTCAGACCTTCGTCACCAGCCGACTACGGTCCTCCGGACTTACGTCGCCCGCCGACTACGGTCCTCCCAACCAAACGAACATGTCAATAGTGATTCTTTGTATTCATATCATGTAATGTACTCTATAAAATGTACATCAAGCTAAGGCCTTCTCCTAAGGAAGGGCCTCATTTGTAATCGACTGCAATACTAGTGGATTCATTCAAACTGGGTTAGGCCCCGTGGTTTTTCCCCTTTTCAGGGGTTTTCCACGTAAAAATCTTGGTGTCTCATTAATGTTAGACCCTCTCTCTTATCTGATTGCGTGCCGAATTTTCGTACAACGCTAAGACGATAAATATGATATTTCTCTACCGCCACGAATACTCCTGGCCGCAACAATACTATATAGCAAGTGATACAAAAATCATTTGTTCTTCACCGTTGAAGAAGAGGGAGAGTACAACAGGGCTTAATTTTTTCAATAGGGATTATTATAGAAATAAATGTTTACAGAAGGACTAATATACCCATACACAATAAGGTAAAATCTTGTCAGTATTCGATCTGGAGATGGTCGTGATTTCTGATGCTAGTTGTCGGTGACAATGCTTGTTGTCGGTAGCAATAGATGGTGGTGATTGTCAACGGTGATGGATGGAAAATGCAAGAGAGTTCTCGCTATTGCTCTCTTCCTCTTTCTTCCACCCTCCCTTATGTGAAGAATGATAGTCTATTTACAGGTTTTTGGAAATGACAAGCTCAATAAGTATGAAAAAATCTAGGGCAAATTCGGAATGCTCCATCAAATGGTCTATATTGATTCCTTTGATCATAGAGCTTTGATCAAGCATTTAAGTATCTTAATTATGTCAAATTTAAGTGATCTTGGGCTTGTTAGATTCGTCTCGTCGAGCCGCTTGATTCAATTATAAGTATGCCATATTTGAAGATTATTTGATTGTCCAGTTAATGCTTTAAAACTTTCAAATATAATTTGGTCCCTTGATTTGAGCTATCTTGAGCTTGGAATGGACCGATTAACTATAAGTTTGCTAATATCAGAGTTTAGATGATCACAAATTTAATTATGAAAGTTTCAATTCAAATATGCCTCGAGATTAGTGCTTGATTAAGATGATTTTTCGTGACATATTAGCTACTGGAAGCTTTAAACTATCTATCTTGGTATCATATTTATCCACAATTATATGAAATGAAAACAAACTTAAATTACTTTTATTATTTTCATTTCTAAAGAAATTTTTGGCTTCCATCATGGTCGAACTTTCTAAAATCAAATTTAAGTTTATCTATAAATTATAGTTATTTTCCTACAAAAAAGGTTAACTTGCACCAGAAATATGCTATGCAAAAATCGTAAGCCTTAATGACTGCAACAATTTGTGGGTCTTCGTATCCATCTTGACTTCAACTTCTTGCTAACTTTTTTCACTTCTTCCTCAAAAAATTTTTGTGTAAGATGAGAAAACCTTTGTGATCTGAAGAATCAAAGTTCGCATGAAATTACGTTGATAAAGTCATCTATGAAAAACGGAAAACTTGTGGCTTATAATATTCTAAATTAAATTAACTTTGCGTATAACAATTATTGCTAAAGTGTATGACGCATTTTCTTTCGTATTAGAAGCCAACGTTTCTTGTAAAATACTCCATAAATATTTTTATCGTTTTCCTTCAAAATGGGAAAGGTATTTTACAGTTGGACGAAAGTACACCTAAAAAAGTCTTATATATGTGAGCTGAATTAACAACACTACAGCATGCAATGGAGCTACCAATGAACAAATTGGGCTTCTTTTGGACTTTTAGCTCACATATATATAAGAATTTCAGGCTCAGATCATTTAATTTACGTACATGTTTTTCATGAACAACTATTGAATCATGAACAAGCTATTCACTAGGAGGTCAAGTGGGTTAGGCTACTCATAATTTCTTTATCCGAAGCTCAGATCACTCTTATAGATTAGCCCTATTGAATCTGAGCTAAATGGTTATAGCGTGTTGTGGACCAATCATTGGCACGTTTACATCATTTAAGCTCATCAATGCAGCAGATTCACCGTCAACAAGCTTGTAATAAAATAAAATAAATATTTAAAGTATGGTTTGAACTGTTGTTCGGTTAGAACATAATAAAAGGCTTGTCAATAAATCACTTGCTATTATATATGAGCAAAATTATATCAATATAATTAAACTTGATTTCGTTCAGATGAACTTACATTAAGGGCCCATTTGATCTACTAAAAAAGAAACGCAGTGAAGCATAATTTAGTGTATTTTATTTAAAATTATTTGGTTGCGTATAAAATAAAGATAGGAGATTTTTTGTGTGTGTGCGCGCGCTTGGTTCAAAGTAAAATGAATTCAAGTTAAGTGACAGTAAAGAAACGTTTTGCTTACATCCATCAAATCAATATATTCAACATTATCTTTATACTATGTCATATTAGATGTTGTGAGAGGACTCACCAGTTTCTTACATTCAGTGATGCTCTGCTCACATATGTATAATCTCACGTAAGAAAAAAGGGATCTTAATAATGTCCGTTTTGATTTTTTCTACAGGGCATTGCATGAGAAGGAAGACCACCGCTTCTCCCGAGCCAAGTTCTTCGTAATCGCATTGATCTGCAGCTTTGCTTGGTATGCAGTCCCTGGCTACTTATTCCCTACCCTGACTAGTATCTCCTGGGTCTGCTGGGCATTCTCCAGGTCTGTCACTGCTCAGCAAATCGGCTCGGGCATGAGAGGCCTTGGCCTTGGGGCCATTACACTGGACTGGTCCGCCGTCTCCTCCTTCCTCTTCAGCCCTCTCGTCTGCCCATTCTTTGCCATTGCCAATGTTTTTGTTGGATATTTTCTCGTTGTCTACATAACAATGCCAATCGCTTATTGGGGCATGAACGTTTACAATGCCAAGACCTTTCCAATATTTTCCTCCCATCTCTTCACAAGAGAAGGGCAGCCCTACAACATTAGTGCTATTGTGAACAACAAGTTTGAGATTGACATGAATGCTTATCAGGAGCAGGGAAGGATTAACCTGAGTATGTTCTTTGCATTGACATATGGATTTGGCTTTGCCACTATTGCTGCTACGCTTACACATGTGGCCTTCTTCTATGGAAGGTATGCTTTTCTGCTTTACTTTCTTTACGGCTCTCCTCGTAGTTTGCTTCTTGGCAAATAACAAATCTTAAACAACGTAGCAATATTTTGAATAAACTCAAGAAACTTGAAAAGTAAGAACTTATGGGGCTGTTTTATTCACTCAGAACAGTTATGCAGTGTTAGCTGTTATGTTGATACGAGATATTTGTTTAATTTTGTCGCATTTATAAAAACAATTTCATAGAAGACAGGGGGGGGGGTCAAAAGAAACGGGGGGGGGGGGGGGCTATTTGGTTCAATGTTATGTAGATAATTGTGTTATTTGCATAACAAGTTTTTCTACTATATATAGTGGAGGATTGGAGGTATATCCTTGAATATTGTAACCTTTGGCTTGCCTTACGAATATTAGAACTTCAGGAGATGCGTGGGGCAAAAGGTCTTGTTAAGTGAGTGTTGACATTAAACAATGCATTCAGCGTTTGCATTCGTGTTCTTTTTTTCTACTTTTGAAGGGAAACATCCACATTCCACAGTATTAGAATTAGTGTAAGGCAGATGGTATAGGTTAATGATCTATCTTAATAAAGGCTACATCTTTATGAGGGACAAATACAGGAGAACTTCTGAGAAAACCATTATGAGCTGCAAGATTGAAAATGCAGATCTCACCTATTAATACCATTAAATACAAGTCTGAAGACGCGGAAAAAAGAACCTGAGATATTTTGTACGAGGATATCTGACTCATTTTTGTGTCAGTATGAAAAAATTTTAGATTAGCAGGTAAATGAACTAAATAGATGACATTTGAGCAGAACTAGAAACAAACAAATGCTATAAAAATATCTCTAATGTTTTTAAATGTCTTCTATATTTTGAGCATTTATCTTCTAATTTTTGTCAAACTGTTTTTTTTTTCCTATTTAAGAGCTTTTATACTCTGTGCTTCTTCTATGCTATAAATGCGATTCCATATGTAATTGCAGGGAGATCTATGATCGTTTCCGTGCTTCATATAAAGAAAAGGAGGACATACATACAAAGCTGATGAAGAACTATGAGGACATACCAGAATGGTGGTTTCACTTATTACTTGGATTCACTGTTGCAATTTCTTTGATCCTATGCACAGTCCTGAAAGACCAAGTTCAACTTCCATGGTGGGGGCTCTTCTTTGCCTGTGCCATGGCCTTCTTGTTTACTTTACCCATCAGCATCATAACCGCAACTACAAACCAGGTATATATTCACAAAACATCTGAACCTTTTTTTTGGCGCTGTTTATTCTAAAAGTTAAGCGGCTATGAACTGAAACTAAACTTTGCAAACTCTCTATTTCCATTTTTAAGACTCCAGGGCTGAATATCATCACAGAATACGTAATGGGACTTATCCTACCTGGGAAACCAATTGCAAATGTCTGCTTCAAAGTTTATGGATACATGAGCATGTCCCAAGCAGTTGCTTTCCTCTCAGATTTCAAGCTCGGTCATTACATGAAAATCCCTCCAAAATCCATGTTCCTTGTTCAGGTACTTATTCCATTTTACACTCCAACTAAGCAAGCATGATATTGAACATGTTTTCCATCCTGCAGTTTGCTGGCACCATTGTTGCTGGAACAATCAACCTCGGTGTTGCATGGTGGCTTCTGGGCTCAATTAAGAACATATGCCAGGACGAGCTCCTACCGCCAAACAGCCCCTGGACTTGCCCCGGTGACCGTGTCTTCTTCGACGCATCCGTAATTTGGGGCTTGGTAGGCCCGAGACGGATTTTCGGTTCGCTCGGCAACTACGGTGCTTTGAACTGGTGTTTTCTGGTCGGTGCAGTTGGCCCAATCATAGTCTGGCTCTTCCACAGAGCATTCCCTCATCAATCATGGATCCCACTCATAAACCTTCCAGTTCTTCTTGGAGCTACAGCCAACATGCCTCCAGCTACTCCACTCAACTATAACGTTTGGGTCATTGTTGGAACAATCTTCAACTTCTTCGTCTTCAGGTACAGGAAAAAATGGTGGGTAAGATACAATTACATCCTTTCTGCAGCACTGGATGCAGGAGTTGCGTTCATGGGGGTCCTGCTGTACTTCAGTTTAAGCATGGAGAACTACAGTCTGGACTGGTGGGGCACTAGAGGTGAGCACTGTGATCTTGCAACTTGCCCCACCGCGAAAGGAGTGATTGTCGATGGCTGCCCTGTGTTTTAAACACTTGCATATTCCTTTAAGAATTGCCTTCTTTCTTTGACAAATGCTGCTCAGGCCAAACTTTTTTATTCAATGAAGTGCTGACACTTCAAATTTTTTGGCTGAGTAGCATTTCTGTTCTTCTTATCTTGAAAATGTCCTGTATAAAAAACTTTCAGTTTGTGTTTTTTTACATTGCTTTTCATGCATGTTTGTTTCCTTAACTGTAGCTCAATAAAAAAGAGCTGCTTAAATGAATATTATGTATTGATGTCTTCATTGAATGATATATATATAAAGTTAAGTTTCAGCTATATATATATATAGTTTTATTTTGCTTGGCAGTTCATTAGAATGAAGTTTTTTCTTTTCCCCTCAAATGTTAAGTTTGAGCTAAAGAGAAACTTGTGAAAGGATGAAACAGAATGATCATGGGAACACTGAGTGTTCATGAGTGTCAATATTTGACATGACCCGAAAATCTGACCCGAATCCAACTCGAAAATTTTGGGTTTGGCTTGACCCAAACCGGCTCGGGTTCGGGTTAAGGATTTTGATCCGTTTACAAAAAATGGGTTGGATTTAGGTTGACCTGAGTAATGCCGGGTCAGTTTCGGGTTCGATCTCATGACCCGAAATTAACACCCCTAGTGTTGCAATAAAACGAACTCAGCATAAGAATTTTCAGCTTTTCACGTTTCTTGATTTGACAGCACTATGGACAACAATATCAAATATATTTAATTTATGGCATGTGTGGAGCCTAAATGGATCAAATTGGCTCAGCCCTTATCAAACCAAGCTAGTTCAGTGAATTGGACTCCATGTCTTCCTTGCTCTTCTACAAGGGCTGGATGTAGCATATATTTGGACGAGCAGCTCTTGGGAGCAGCACAAGTCCTCTGAAAAGCTCTCGCCAAAAGTCATATATGTATTTGTGATTTTCCTTGAGATTCTATGATTTCTTCAAATCCTTGGTTTGTGCATCATTTATTACATTGAAATGTCCTTGAATGAGTGAAATTATTCTATGGATGTACCTCTATGACCGGATGCCACGGTATTGAGTCGCGGTATTGTAAAAGGGTGACGTTGTGCATTTTTATTGGTCTTCGGACAAAAAAATTTTCTTAAATGGACAAACATTTTGACATATTATCACTATTTTTTTATAATCCTATAGTTTATCTTGCCATTTTCTAAAAATTGTAGTGACTACAACAAGACCCTATTTGAAATTTTGGATTCCTCTTGAATGTACAAAAAAATTGTTATGCCAATGGAGGCCCTTCTGCAATTTTTTTTTTTTTTTAATCCTAACTCTTGTCTATTTGATTATTCCTAAATTATTCATGTCAATCCAACTATAAAAAATGTGATATGTTTATTCATTATAGCAATAACATCGAAGGTCTAGAGTGTCAATTTCTCTATTCGATGAAAGGGGTGGTCTTAATAATCTCTAGTTAAAATATAGACTCTATGTTACTCAATTTTTTCCGTCTTTGTGATTATTATAGCGATAATTACTTTTCCTTCAAATATAAGTCTCCTAATCCGTCTAAAATGTCGCCGACATCCATGCTAACTCCATTGTCGCATTAGCCATCCTACTTCATTGATTTCTCCAATATTCAAGATTAGCTTTGTATGATAGCTTGCATTTATAATGTCTTAGCCAAATGCATCATGTGATGAGTTTACTTAAAGAGTTATAATATATTTTATTTACATTAAAAAGTTTATAATCAATTATTTGTCTCTAATAATAAATTTATATTTCTAATTCATATTCATAATAGTAGCCGGTCACTATAAATATCAAGTCTTTACCTTTATTAACCTTTGAATTTAATTTAGAAAACAATTATATTTTTATTTTTATTTTAGGAAATTTACATTCATACCACTTTATTTCATAACATTCAAAACATTAATATTACATGCATACCACTCATATACAACTTTAATATCAAATATATCACTCATGTAATTCATTTGTATCATTCATATCATACTATAAACTTTAATATTTCATTCCATGCCCCCAAATTTGTTCTATGAGTGGTAGGCATGTAATATTAATATTTTGGGTGTTAGAAATATAAATAATATGAAAAAAGTTGTATGTATGTAAATCTCCCTTTTATTTTTTAAGATTCAAATTTATGAATACTTTTTAATTGGAATTATCAGAGTGATTTTTTCAACTTCTAAAAATTTCATATAAATGCATATAATATATAATAATACACAATTTTGAATAATTATATAAACATTTTTGAAATACATAGCTGGCACCAATCTCCGCCACGTGTTTTGTACACGTCGCCACTCCCAAGCTTCAGCAACGAGCCTTCGCCACTCTCTCTCCTCTATTTTCCATTTCCTGAAATCTCTCCACTGTTCGAAGAAAATATAGAATGGCTGGTCTTCTCGCATCATCCCCACGCCCGTACGTCGCCCTCCCTTACAAAACCCCCCGTCTCCTTCTCCCCCGTTCTCTCCATCTAACCTCCCGCCGGAACCCTAGACTTTTCCGCCTCCCCCCTGCATACGCCGGAAAGGCCAGACGGATCCGGATAGATCGTTCCCCTGGCGGCGACGACAAAGAAGGCTCCCCCAGCCCCAGCCTGTCAGGCTTCACGGACGAGTGGGGCGAGAGATCCGAGCCGGAGGTGGAACCCCCTGCAGAAGCCGATCCGCCCAAGAACGAAGATGAGTGGGGGAGTGAAGGGACCTCAGAAGGAGCCCCACAAAGGGCTTCTGTGATCACTGATGAGTGGGGTGAGAAAACGGAGTTGGAGCCGGAGGAGCCGGCGAAGCCTGATCCGCCGGTGGATGAAGATGAGTGGGGGAATGGAACCCCGACGCCAGATGATAAACTTGGGGATCTGAAGAGGTGTTTGGTTGATACGTTTTACGGAACTGAGTTGGGATTTAGGGCTGGTACGGAGGTTAGGGCGGAGATTGTTGAGCTCGTCAGCCAGTTGGAGGCGCAGAATCCTACGCCTGCACCCAATGAGGCGCCGGAGCTTCTTGATGGGAACTGGATTCTTTTGTGAGTCGATTGCTACCTTTTCTCATTTATTTGCGAACTTTTTGTTTATTCATATTGCAAGGTTTGCCCAAAAATTTAAGCTAATGGGTAGGGACGACTGCTGAAATATTATGAAATCACCTTTTGTTTTAGTTTTAATGTGAAACTAAAGTTTCGCTTTTATGTGTATTTCAACGGCACGTAAGAATTGTCCTCATTAAGATCATTAGCATCAAATATCATGCTCTAAGTGCCTACTCAACCATGATTTGCTCTTGTAACTTGCTCAACTAGGATGGAAAATAGTAATACTCAGCGGAAATATAAAACACATAAATCATTAATCTCAGCTAAATCGTTGACTATGATACATCCTGTTGGGTGAAATTTTTGAGGCCCTTAATTTACCCAATACACTAGTAGATAGATATCCATCATTTCAAAAGCTTGAACTAAAGGTAAAAACTAGTAATAGTGTATTTGGAATTCAAATTTTACTTCAATTCAAAAGCTAGACTATTTTTTTTTTTTCAAGAGGGTTGGCCAAGCAAACCGACCCTATAATGTCCATAAATTACGTTGGCCATTGTCTTGATAACCATACAACGTCCATCAATTAAAAGATGTGTATGTCATACATAGCCAACCGACCCTTTTAAAGCTAGACTAATCTTCAATCTTCTATAAACCCTAACAAATAGCACTGCAATGTGGGCCTAGACAGTTTTGCTACCTAAACTGCTTCATGATATATGATTATGATGTGATCCATGGAGACATGCTAACTTAGTGATTAGTTTTAAAAATGATGTTACAATTAAAGATGGCCATACAACCACTAAAGTTGATTTTATTGAAAGCTCTGATCAGTAAAAAGAATTGCTCCAACGTTGTTCGTTGTTAAGTAGAAAATTTGATCATTGCGCTGCTTGCTTCTACTTTGTAGTTAGTGGTCCTCCACTTGGGCTTTGTTTGGTTTCTTTTTTATAAGTTAAAAAAAACCCAGTAAATGCTACATGTACTTTTATTCCCACGTTTTATTAAATTTATTTATTTATTTGAGTTAAATTCTGTTTCTTTGGCAAATTCAATAACAAACAGTTAAATTTCTTTGTGATATCTGAATTGCATTTGATAAGGACTTCATTCTGTCAACGTAGTCAAATCAACTAACATTACATGACATTTTAACTCCAGTTTATATTTCTCATGGAATAAGAGGTATGTAGGCCCAAGGAAGTTTAATCTAGGCATTATTTGTGGTATAAGACTTTAAGCTGCATGTGCATAGCTAGACATTAGTGTACATTATAGATTTTTGGTTTATGTGTTAAGTTCATACTAAGTTTGTAGTTTTTATTTAGACAGGATTTATGACCATATGAAAACTTTCAATAGTTACATGGCTATTGCCCAGCATTTGAGGTTACATGGAATTTTTATGCTGCATAATTTTGATTTATCATTTCAAGTTGTGGTTCCCAAGAAGTGACTGGCGCTCTATTATGATATTGAGGTCATAACAGAATGTGCATTGATGTTGCTTTTTTGTTATATTAAAAAGATGTATATATTATGAATTGTTTCTGGTTTGACATGACTACAGAGAAAGTGAAACAATATTGAACTTGTCTTAAAAGAAATGTACCCATTGAAGTAGAGTGTGAGTTTATACTTCAAGTATATTTTAAAAAAAAAAACAACTCGCTCTTGCTCGATCGGGAAGAAGAAAACCAATCAGCCGCTGAAAAAAAAAAATTTACCTGTGCGACCTTGAGCAGGAAACAACGACTTGGCTTCGGGAGCGGCTAGGGCACAGGATGAAGATGAAGCCGCGCCTTCCTCCATGTACAAATGGTGGTCGAGCAGTAGATGGCGACACGGGCGCCGCACAAAGAACTTTCGCAATGTAAAATGCCTTAAATCCGATGGTAGCTCGCTCGCTGTAACTTTCTCCCTTTCGCGCGGTTCTTCGGCCAAATCCCGTAAATCCGACTTCTACCTGGATTAGGATTTACCGGGATTTAGCGGATTTACGCCGTAAATCCGCAAATCCAGAATTTACGGATTTACCGGATTTATTGCGACGTTTTTTGCGTTTGGCTGGATTTACCGTAAATCCTACTTAAAAACCGAAATAAATCCGATACCAAACAACCCCTAAAGTACCGCTTTTATGTTTATTATAACTACATATAAGAGTTGCCCACATTAAGATCATTAGCATTAAATAATTTAAATATCACTAAGTTCGCACTTAACTATGATTCACTCTTGTAACTTGCTCAATTATGACAGGAGATACTAATACTCTTATACTCATCGGAAAGATAAACACATGAATCATTAATCTCAGCTAAATCGTTGACTATGGTACATCCTGTTGGGTGAAATTTTTGTGGCCCTTAGTTTACCCCAATACACTAGTAGAGAGATATCCATCCTTTCAAAAGCTTAAACTAAAGGTAAGAACTAGTATTAGTGTATTTGGACTTCAAATTTTATTTCAATTCAAAGCTAGACTAATCTTCAATCTTTTATGAACCCGAACAAATAGCAGTGCAATGTGGGCCTAGTCGTTTTTGCTACCTGAACTGCTTCATGATATATGATTATGATGTGATCCATGGAGACATGCTAACTTAGTGACTACTTTTAAAAATGATGTTGCAATTAAAGATGGCCATAGGACTACTAAAGTTGATTTTATGAAAGCTCTGATATGTAAAAAGAATTTCTCCATCATTGTTCGTTTTTAAGTAGTAAATTCGATCATTGCGCTGCATGCTTCTACTTTGTAGTTAGTGGTCCTCCACTTGGGCTTCGTTTGGTTTCTTTTTTATAAGTAAAAAATTAAAAAAGAAACCAGTAAATGCTACATGTACTTTTATTCCCATGTTTATTAAATTTATTTAATTTTTGAGTTAGATTCTGTTTCTTTGGCAAATTCAATAACAAACAGTTAAATTTCTTTGTGATATCTGAATTGCATTTGATAAGGACTTCATTCTGTCAACGTAGTCAAATCAACTAACATTACATGACATTCTAACTCCAGTTTATATTTCTCATGGAATAAGAGGTATGTAGGCCCAAGGAAGTTTAATATAGGCATTATTTGTGGCATAAGACTTTAAGCTGCATGTGCATAGCTAGACATTAGTGTACATTATAGATTTTTGGTGTATGTGTTAAGTTCATACTAAGTTTGTAGTTTTTATTTAGACAGGATTTATGACCATATGAAAACTTTCAATAGTTACATGGCTATTGCCCAGCATTTGAGGTTACATGGAATTTTTATGCTGCATAATTTTGATTTATCATTTCAAGTTGTGGTTCCCAAGAAGTGACTGGCGCTCTATTATGATATTGAGGTCATAACAGAATGTGCATTGATGTTGCTTTTTTGTTATATTAAAAAGATGTATATATTATGAATTGTTTCTGGTTTGACATGACTACAGAGAAAGTGAAACAATATTGAACTTGTCTTAAAAGAAATGTACCCATTGAAGTAGAGTGTGAGTTTATACTTCAAGTATATTTTCCTCATTTTTGAAGTAAATTAATTTGGGCCACTGCGTTGACATGAATGTTTTCGGCTTTCTTAAATCAAACTAATTTGGTTTATTGTGTCAGATTAACAGTTGTGCTTTAGTAATAGCATGATATGCCACAAATTAAACTATTATATAGAAGCCATTATATCCTTCGTTCAATTTCATTGTATTTTTTCTGCCAATAAGGTTTTTATATTTTAGAATTTTATTAACTTAATATATAGTTTTGGCCCGGAGGTTAACGTTGTGTGTGGAGATGGTGAAGAAACATGAAGTTAAGGTTGCGTAAAATATGGGAATTAGAAAAATTGTGCTAAGATTACTGTTTTACATTTTTTTGTTTAATAGTTTACATATCCATGAAAATCATGTTTTTCGCTTGCGATGAAATTTCTCATGTGATATCATTTGTTTAGAGAACAAGAGCATGGAGAAGGTCCCTTCACATTCTTTCATCTTGTTGTATTGCAATAAATTAAACTTTATTGTAATATTCATGTTTAAATTTGCCTTATAATGAATTGATTAGTTATATACGTCTCTCATACCTCTAACAAATAGAAGTTAGTCCCATTTCATTTAAAAATTGCCTCTGGCCATCCCTCTAATTAAATTATCGTTGTTTTCATGTTGAGCCAATTTCTAAATTAAATCCCTTCATTCTCTCTTTGTTTTCTTTACCTTTTCATTGTCAAGCCTCATTCTTTTCTAATGCTGGCCAACTGTCATCAATGAAGTTTTAGTTTATGATGCTCAAATAAGATGGCATATACTCTAAAAGCAAGAAAGATACGAAGTCTTCATTTTTTTTATGATGTCCTTCTTAGTTGATTACGAACCCCCTTTCCTGTAGTGACCTCAGGTAATGGATCTGCTATTGCTTTGCATGAGGTTACGTTTGCAATGCTTTTGTTATCGATCATATTTGCCTTTTTGTCCTTACAAGCCCAAAAAGTTCTACTATGGTAGCAAATGCCTTTTACCATATTCAATTACTATGGAGATATTTTCTTTCTGCTCAGAGTCAATTAAGATGTCTAAATATCATCCCCAGAATTATTTGTGTATGCTTTAACTTCGTCGCAGTTTATTGAATCTTATTATTAAAATTTCTTAGGTACACAGCTTTTTCAGAGCTCTTACCTCTTCTAGCAGTTGGGGCTACACCGGCATTAAAAATTAAGAAGATTTCTCAATCCATTGACAGTAAAAGTAGAACCATAGTCAATGCTACAACACTTGCTAGTCCATTCGCTACTCTCTCTTTCAGCGCATCCGCTTCATTCGAAGTTTTAAGTCCATCAAGAATTGAGGTAACACAATTTAATCCTAATTTCATGCTACTACGTCACAGCAGTGGCAGTTAATTTTTATCTTGATTGCACAAGTGAATCTTATACTTGTGTCACTGTATGGCATTTGTCTTTGACATTTTAACTTTAAGCGGTTCTCTGCAATCTGGATGTTACAAATATATATATATATATTTAAACTGTCATATGAGCATCCTCCACTGCTCCACATATACGTAACTCTTACGCATTAGTTTTGATTTTTATTTTATTTTTTTCACTTAGAAGTAAAAATATGTTTAAATAGTCTTTTAATTCCCAATTTCAGAAACATAAAATCAAAACATCCAATCTCACAAATAAAAGTATGTATATTTAAGTAGTATAATAAGTCTGTTTAATTCGTAATTACGTCCATATAAATGCTGATATCCTAATTTATCTAAGTTATGACATAACGAATGTCTTAGATTACTTAATATTTTATTAACTAATTCATAACTAAGCAGTCAAATTAAAATTTAATTAACACATTAATTATTCCAGTATTAAATACCCTGTTAACACTTCTAGAATATGAATTAATTCCTCTTTCTCGTTGATATTGGAGTTTAGGTACTTGAAATTCAACGCCATAATTTGGCTTGACAGGGGTCATGGATCAGATTTGAGTTGACCTGACCTTATCCAAACTTTAATCTGACTGAAACTTATTTGGATCGGATCAGGTTCAGTGTTGGTTTGATTTGAACCCTTCTTATTGGCAATCCTAATTAAGTACTATTTAGGATAGCAGATTTCATTAAAATTGCTTTGAAAAAGATGCTTGCTCCTGTGGAAGCCAAAGCTTCCTAAGGTGTTCCTTGGGAAGATCCTCCTGTTAGTTAATGTAACTTCTATAATCTGTATGCCTTCTAAACGTTCCTTCTGCATTATTCAAAAAAATTTTTTTTTTTCATGCAGGTTCAGTTCAAAGAGGGTATTTTTCAGGCCCCAGAAGTATCAACAACTTTGAATCTTCCTGAAAAAATAGAATTTTTTGGGCAGAAGATTGACCTGCAAACTGTTCAGCAGTCGTTGAATCCAATACAAGAGGCCGTTGCTAACATCTCACGTGGAATTTCAGGCCAGCCACCTCTCAAGGTTCCAATTCCTGGAAACAGGTCAAAATCATGGCTCTTAACAACCTATCTTGATCAAGATTTTAGAATTTCAAGGGGCGATGGTGGCTTGTTTGTCCTCGCAAAGGAAGGAAGCCCCTTACTAGATCAACTCTCATGAAATCTTTTGCATATTCATGGGATTTGTTGGGCCCCTTTAGTTACAATTTTAATGAAATATTTGTATGCTTTTCCGTCCTTTTTGGACATCTAAAAGTTCTATCAATCTTCCAAGGTATTTATTTATGAGAAGTTTGCTGAACCAGTGGGATTTGGCTTCCATTCATGAAACAATGATGTGGAGATTGATGATGAAGTTCTAAAAGAATTTATTTCTTAGTTTGTGGATGGAAGAAATAACAGAAAATCAATCAAAGAATCAACAAAACAAAGTTTTCATGAGCCACAACCTTCAAACCCAAATCATCACTGAGGCTTCGTTTGGAACGGATTTCTTGTTGATTTTTAAAGTAGTTTTTTAGTACAAAATTAAAATATTTATACTATAAAGCTGCTTTAAAAAAGCCGCCCCAAATGAAGCTTGAATTTGCTTGCTTTCTCTCTATTCTCAATACGCGACATGCTCGCCATAAGTTTTAAAGATCGAGTCTTTCTAATCAATGTTCTCTCTCATTGCTAATTGAAGGAGGGAGGAAATGGACATTAAAGCAAAAAAGAGAATACTTAAACAAATGAAAGAAAATATTTCTTAGCATATGTGCATCTTCTTATAATCAACATGTTGAACTTAGAATGTGGTTGAGTATTAATGATTTGGGCAAAAAAGGCATTCATATGCCGAGTACATAGGATGACTTAGGTTTTGTTTGGGACATCTTTCGTATTGCTTCCTAAAACAGCTTTCTAGTATAAAATTTTCTAATTCAAGAAATTTTTGTACTAAAAAGCTGCTTTAAAAAGTAACAAGAAAATTGTCCCAAACGAAGCTTTACTCTCGCATAGCTAGTTGTCATCCAAATCTACCTAGAGTTCTTTCTTTAATAAGCCATAGAATATAGGGCTTAGCTTTCTTAGCTTACTAATGGACATAATTAACAATATGGCAAACCTAAAAGATTTAAGCTCATTTAAACATGGTTTAGCCCTAATTAAGGCTTCATTTGAAATAGCTTTTTTATTGCTTCATAAAGCAACTTTTTAGTATAAAAATTAAAAATTTTATACTAAAAAGCTGTTTTAAGAAACAGTAAAAAAATCGTCCCAAATAAAACTTAAATCTCATCAATATGGCACGTTCTTTAACTTTTAAAGGCTTAATTTTTATGCTTGTTACAAAACTCAAAGTCCTTGGCAGCTCTTTATTTTGAGGGTGTCTTACAAGATAAAAATTATTAGGTGTCACTATGCACATAATTTTAGATACGAGATCTAATTACATTTTTTTATTAAGTGATTAAGAAATAATTATTTGGAAATTAGATAATTTAAAATATAATTAAAATTTGTAAAGACTTATTAATGTTTTTTTAATCATAATTACATATAAATACTTAATTAACAGTTTATGATAGATCAATTAAGAATTAGACATTAAAAATTAAGTAATACACAACTCATCTTAGTCGACCAATTAAGACGTCTTCCGTTTGAGTGTTGTGTATGTAATGTGTGTATGAATATACTTTAATTGATATGTAATATTAAAAATTTAAATATTAGATACATAAATATCACTAAATAAAATGGTATGTATGTAAATGATCAAACTCAAGTACCTGATTAATTAAGTTTGTTTAAATTATTAGTTAAACCCTCTTCTTCTACCCTTCGCTTCCACTTAAATGCCCGAAACCCTGATAGAGCAGAAGCCTCGACGGGAGCTCGCGGGGAAGGCATCGACGGGCGTGTGAAGGAGAAGTGGAAGTCGCGACTGGAGCTTGCAAAGGGGAGGCATCGAGAGGACCGGCGGCGCTTGGTGGAGAAGAGGTGTTCGTGACGGGAGCTCGCTGGGGAAGAAACGCCGCGGATTTAATTTAAATCAGCACAACAGTGGCATTTGGTAATCAAAGATTTAAATTTGCGTTTTTAACCGTTTGACAGCATTTAACTTGGTGAAATGCGGCTCAAATCCTGGTACGAAACAGCTCCTTATCCGCTGAAGTGATCAATATTTTGCTTTTCTTTGTAGGCATTAGGTTTTTTTAATGGATGCAGTGGGGTTGAACTTAGGAAATCGAGTTCCTTCCAACAGAATAGTGATTAATTTTTTGGAAAGAACTCACTCCACGAGTTCTGGGACTTATCGACCTCAAAAAGTAGATTTTGGCGAAGTATGTTCTTATGGAAATGTCACATTGAGAAAACAAGGCGGAGCATTAGAAGTCTTGCGTAGAAATAGTCTTCCTGGAGCTGTTAGTTCTCTGGAAGAAAAATATGGGTCGGGAAGTTCTGCAAGAAAAAATCTGGCAGTTTTTGTGTCCGGTGGAGGATCAAATTTTCGTTCCATTCATAATGCTTCTATTAATGGATTAATTCATGGAGATGTTGTTGTTCTTGTGACTGATAAGCCTGGTAAATTCCTTTGCTAGACAATTTTATTGATAAAAAGTATTTCCTTTTGTGGATTGCGCATCAACTTTGGACAAAGATGGTATTAGTTTTTTGTTTTGTGCATCTGTTTTTTTTTTTCACAGATCTTTTTTCTAATTAACCAAAAGGTGATCGGGCGTGTAAATAAAAAAATTGCAAATTTCATCTATTATCTTAAAGTTTTAGTAGTTTTTGGAAATACTGGCTAGTTTATGGAATTGGACATGGTGAGATCATTCAAAGTTAAAATAAATAAATACTCTTTGATCTAAGCATGGGAAGGCTATGCATGAATTATATCTTACTTGTCTGATTATAGTATTTTTTTTTTGGAAACGTTCAATAGTCTCTCTGCAAAAGGACTCAAGTCTTAATAATTTTTATTTATAATTGGGGAAGCTTACAATTTTCCTCTACTTAGCTTCATTGGAGTTCTAAATTGATTAGTCAATGAAAGTGTATTCTGAAGTTGACCTATTCTTCCGTTTATAAAGTTCTGAAGATTGTGCATGTATTAATTTGCATAACAAATTAAATGGGAAGGAGACATTGGAATGGTGTCTAATCTATGATGCGCAAACACGAAAACAACGACTCAGATATGACACGGACACTAGACATGTCAATTATTAAAAATATAGTTAACTGACACAGGTTGGATACTGTAGTATAATTTTCATATTTTAAAAATAGTGTATAAAAATTGAATAAGTATAATATTAAAAATAATTTAGAAAAAGTAAGTCATTTAGCTAGAATTTGTGCTTAAAATAATTAATATTATGATATCGAGAGTTGGACGTCGATGCCGTGTATTAGATATCGATAGAGGAGACGACAATGCTGTCGAGAGTCAGACATCGATGTTATGCAGTAAAGTATCGGGAGGCATTGATGTCAAGAGGACGTCTGTCGTTAATGTTGAGAAGGGGTTGGTCGTCAATGTTAAAACGATACAACAACAACAACAACCACAACAACATCAAGCCTTTATCCCACTACGTGGGGTCAGCTACATGATTCATTTTTCTCCATTGTGTCATATTAAAAATCAAATTCTCGTTTAAATCTAATAAAGAAAGGTCATTCCTAATATTTTCTAACCAAGTCTTTTTAGGTCTACCCCTACCTTTCTTAACATAAGTCAAATCTAATACCTCTATCCTAACCGGGTCATCGGAAGGCCGCCATTTTATGTGACCAAACCATCTAAGGCGACTCTCTCTAATCTTATCTTCTACTGGAGCTACTCCAACCTTTTCACGTATATGCTCATTTCGTATCCTATCTCTAAGGGTAAAGCCACTCATCCACCTAAGCATCCTCATCATAATTCAAGTTTACCTTAAACTCCCTCTCTAGTATTATCAACAAGAAGAATATCATCAGCAAAAAGCATACACCAAGGTACATCCTCTTGCAAATGTCTAGTGAGAACATCCATGACTAAAGCAAAAAGATATGGGCTTAAGGCTGATCCTTCATGTAACCCAACCGAAATAGGGAAATACTTGGTCAATGTTAAAACGATGTCGGAAAAAAAAAATGAGCTGACAAGTTGTGAGTATAGAAATTGCTAGCGTCGAGCATCAATGTCAAGACAATGTCAGACTTTAATGCTGAGATGGTTTTGAAATGTCAATGTTATAATGACGTCAGACGTTGATGTTGAGATGATATCGTCATTGTTGTAAAACCAAAGTCGCAACCTGCCAAAGAGAAATAAAAATAAGAATATTCAATAAATGAGGTATTGAATGCTAATGATTGATTTGGTAACATGGATAGAAAATAAGAAATTCAATTTTTATATTTTAAATAAATAAAATTTTAAAATGCAAGAAATTATATTTTTTAAAAAATTATTAAAGTATTTCGACATCTGTGTCCAATTTGTATTTAATATTTTTTAATCGGACACGTTTTCGGCGTGTCTGACATGTTTCAGGGGTGTGTCGAATGTGTGTCGTGTAGGATACGTGTCGGACACTGCACGTCTCTTTTAGGAGAAGTGTCGGTGCATTATAGTGTCTAATTGTTTGTCCACTAAATTTATAAAACTTGTTAAAGAGGATTTCTTAATCAAAATACATTGGCTTTTGGATAAATAAGAGATCATTCGTGCTCTTTGAAATAGAAAAATAATATTGAGGGGCATGTCGTCTATCACTCTAGTTAAATTACCATTATTGCCTTTTATGAAGTAATATTGTGCATGGGGTATTCAGTTTTCCTTAAAAACATGCAACTTGAGGGGTTTCCTGTTGTCAGGTATCCTTTACTATGATGCCTAGCAAAAACATAGTGGTATTGAGTAGAGAACATGAAAATGATTAATTTTCCTGTTAAGATTTATATTACAATAAATGCTTCATGTTAAGAAGTATGGTCAATGTATATAATATTCATTACAAAAATAGTTTCCATAATTAGTTGAGCAAATACTTAAGTATGCAATAGCTGCTGTAAAGGAAAATTTTGAATCTTGAAAAACAAAGCTTTATGCTATGCATATATTACTTATTCCTTTTAAAAAATTCTTGATGTAGGACATCTTAGCGACTAGGTTTTCCAATTGGAAATCTAAGATGAGATGCACGAAGAAACACACAAAGTTCATATTTCGTAGAAGGACACTTTATTCATTCTAGATAAATTAGAAGTCAACTAATTTTAAAGTCCCACTATAAATATGAGAATTGTTATGAAATTTAGCAACTAATGAAATTCTTATCATAAAAGGAAAGCCATCACATATCAAAACTGATAAAATTTCAATCATGCAAATAGACTAGTCAATAAAATAAATTAGTAGAATGAACAAGAGGTAAAAGTTTCTAATTGGATAAGCTATGCCTCGCTATGAGAAGTGGCCATCAAAACTTGTAAATAACTCAAAAAATCCACATCTACTGTTAAGCAACAACATATTCAATTGGATACAAAAATAGTGCAGGAACAATGCAACGATTGGACTAAACATTTGGAAGGACAAATTAAAGCAACAAAACACATATAAAGGTCAATCATCGAAGGAAGAAAGCCAAAGGAAGTAAACACAACCACATGGACATGCAATAAGCTGACTGAGTTTTCCGCCCAGTTCCTCTGCCAAATTGCTTTCGGTTCAGCATTTACTGCCTCAGTTCAGCAGCTGTCTGGCCGATTCAGCTTATGGAAGCAGTAGATGTATTAATAAAATAGTTTTTATATATATTTCTGCTTTATTCTGATTATATATATATATATATATATGTGTGTGTGTGTGTGTATTAATAATTTTCTGCTTCTTTCATCTTCCTTTTTTCATGTCTTTGGATTTTGCACTTATTCTAAAAGTGTTTTCCCCATCTTGATCCTTCAAGAATCACAACAAATTGATGTTCTCGTTGCTGTTTTTCCCTTCTACTGATGGCGGTACAGTAAGATTGTCATTATTTAATGTTTAATGATTTCAGCATACTTTAGAGATCCCATTATAATCAAATGACCCAAAATAAGTAATTCTTCAAAATCCTCTCAGATTTTTCCAGATATAGTAAGTTTCAATTCAAAACACTTGAATTTTAGCAAGAACAATCAGTTTTCAATCTTAATTTTAGCAAAAGGAGTAAAACATTCCAACATTAAAATATTGTTTCAACAATTTCCACATTGCCCTTTTTTTAAGTCAGTAGAATATAAAAAAAAGGAAGGAAATCATTAGCTGATTCAATTATTGTACCTGTAAGGAAAGGAGCAGCCAAAGATAATCTCAATCCTCACATATGGAAACATCGAAAGCAACTAAAGCCACCATCCTTGAAAGAACGGCAGTTAGGCATTTGTCGAAAACAATATCGTAAGCAACAATAAGAACAAATACAGGATCAGCTATATGTGGAAAGGTGGGCTGAATCCCTATCTACAATGCTTTCCTGAGAACATATAAGTTAACTCCATAGGAGGAAATAAATAACAGAATAGGGGACTGTATTAACAACCATTAGCTATAGCACAAAGTCCTAGGCCATGTAATAACTAAATAGTACAGCAATGGCAAAATCTTCAAATAAGGAAGTAAATAACAGATTAGGGGACTATATTAGCAACCATTAGCTATAGCACAAAGTCCTAAGCCATGTAATAACTAAATAGTACAGCAATGGAAAAATCTTGAAACGAAAGAGCTTGATATTTTCTGGAATGGGGAATTGGAAACAACTGCATTAGGGAATCTTAGAGCTGAATTGAAAATACTTGCAGTAATAAACTATATTTAAAGGTGTAATAAAAACATTGGATAACATAATTTGTTCTCAAAAGGATAAATATTTTCATTGGCATTTTTTAACAAGAAAATAAACTAAGAAACTAAGAAAATACAACTCAAACTCAAAATGCTCATCTCAACATTTATTGTGTGCTTTTGATGAACATACATTCTTAGATTTTCATCAATCCTTGAGTTAGTTTAAATCATTAATAGTCAATAAATTTCTTTAAGGTGACTCAAGTGAATCTTCTTGATATGATTCATGCATGCAAAGTAGTCCTAAATTGTTTCTCCAACTTGGAGAAGGCTTTTTCTGCTATTTCATTGTCCTTCACATAAGCCTCATGTGATTCCTTGTTAGATAGTTTCCACGAATGGGCTCGACTTCCTAATAAGCATTCACAGAAAGTTGAGAGCTTTTTGTAGCATAGAAGTTTGGATGAGTGCTTTTTTGTAATGGACGTGCAACTAGATCATTACCAAGTTTTCATTATTGTGATAAACCAACTATGGGAAGGGCTATTGCTGTTAATGGTGAGCCAGACAGTCTTTAGGTAAGACAAAGCGATGCAAGGTGAAGCCATAGCATCTTATACCCTTGTCTAGTGAGCGTCCTTATTGAGGCACTTTTAATGCAAGTTACTTCCATTAATGCGCTACTCATTGTGGTGAGAACCTTGCATTTTTTGAGAGTGATGATTGCGAATACTTCAATGCTAAATATAAGATTATTATTTATTGCGGAAACATTGATATGAGTTGATATGAAAGAGCATCAAAAGTTGGAGAAAGGAGGGTGAACATTATGAAACAAGTTAGATGAAATATAAGTATAAGAGCTTCAAATTCTAGAGTAGGATGAAGAGGATGAGTTCTAGAAGATCAAGTATTACTATTACACCATTCTAATGATTGAGAAAAGATCATAATGATAATGAATATGTAATAGATACTAGTAAAGATTGAATAATTTTACATGCTATAAATTTATTGCTTCAACTATTCAAATTATTCAAGCATGCATTTTAGCGTTTGTTTTATATATGGTCTGTTTAGTAAGATTTTAGAACATGGTATGTAATAGAACATGAAAAATTACTATTTTGTTATATATTCATTGTGGTGATTATCATTTATATTCTTTAAAAATATTCCTCTTAGTTGAACTGGGTTTATTAAGTGAAATAAATATTGTCTTTTTAGCTCCATGCATTGCTTGGGAGAATTCCTAGGGTGGAACCTAGTAACTCGACCATTGGTGAATCATAGCCTTGCGGTAGATTTCCAAGGTGGAGAAGTTTGAAATTGTGAAAATACATATTTTTTCCCTAAAAATCTAAACTGTGCTCAACTGCTAAATATTCTTAATGAACAAAGTTTCTGGTGGGAATTTTAATTATGAAAAAAATGGGAAGGATTCTTAATTATTGAGGTTATTAGTAGAATAAATAACACCATTGCCACTAAACTATATCCATAAATAATCATTATTTGAGATGAATGACCCCTTTGTCAAACAAAGTAATGAGACAAATTGAACATCTTGAAAACATCAGTCTCATTAATGAAGTTGTATCACGTAAAGGATGTCTCTGGTATTTCTTATGAATATTAAGTTTATTAAAATCTTGGTTGTTTGGTAGGTAATATGACCTTTTTTGTGTATTATGGCAGCTAACAACCTGGTAAAATTTTGAAAACTAGATATGCACATAACTTGATTGTTCGCTTTATCTGTACTGTAGGTTGTGGTGGTGCTGAATATGCAAGAGATCACAATATTCCTGTTATACAATTCCCAAAAAGTAAATATTCTCTTGAGGGGTTATCACCAACTGACCTCGTAATTTCCTTAAGGTGAAAGTTTTTGGAGTTAACTTTTCTATGTACGACTATTTCTTCTTGTCGAGGCTTGATTAAAAATGTATATTTTTTCTCAATGATTTTTGTGCATGCCGCTATATTATTGATCTTGATCAAGACCATGATAGTTGACATTTATAGATGGATTTTTATAAACTTGAAGTGCTGCTTATTTTCGTAGAGCTATTATTATGTTTCCTTTCTGTCTTCTTGTTCAATCTTAACAGTTTTTTTCTTTTGTGAAGGAAATGGAAGATTCAATATATTCTCCTGGCTGGCTTCTTAAAATTGATTCCCACTGAATTAGTCCAGGCATTTCCGAGATCTATACTGAATATTCATCCTTCTCTTCTGCCAGCCTTCGGGGGTAAAGGATATTATGGGCTAAAGGTGCATAAAGCTGTCATTGAATCTGGGGCTAGGTAAAGTGAAGTGTGTCTGTTGATCTTCTTCATTCTTGAATGTCAACTAAACATTTCTATTATCTTCACCTTTATATGGTAACTACTTTGTGAAATTATTTTAATTGTAGAAAATCTAACTTCTTAGCAAAAGCTCTACACTTTTAGAATAATTTTAGAAGTGTGTTTAGTAGCTTGTTGTCACTGTGGCTAGTTGTTGATATTGATTTAACACTCTTTAGGAACAAACAAAGTAAGATTATAAAGGCTATCCCATATAGTTGGGATAAGAGGCTAATGATGGCGATCATCCTGTTGTTGGACCCATGTTTCAGTTTCTTACATATTTCTTTGATTACAAATGTGTTCTTTTATGGGGTTAACTTCTTTTAATGAACATTGTCATGACTGTAACTCCATGTATTAATGCTTTCTGTTGTTTGATTACGCTATTCAGAATAACAGATAAGTTTTTATGTCTATAGTAAGGAGCAGGTAAGTTATTGTGAGAAAAATGTCAGGTTTCTGAGAGCCAGAAAATTGTTTTCTTAGAATTATGGGTTGGATTAACATTCTAGAATCATGTTTTTAGGATTTATTTGCTTTTCCACTTGCCATGACAAAAAATAGTGCTTTGGTTGAAACTTGAAAGTTAGATATTAAGTGGACTAATTATTTGATTGATTAAAAATTAATTAGGCTAATGAATTTAGTATTGATTTATACTATATATATCAAATTAAAATTTAATTGAGCTAATTAGGGATACATTATGCCAATTAGTAATAAGGTAATAATTGGGGTAATAAATTAGACAAATTGTGTAAATATTTATTTTTTGGTTGATGATTAGAATATTAATTAGATCGGTTAGATTGCAAAGATCGGTTAGATTCCAAAGATTGTAAAGTTATTACGAGTGAAAATTTATGTATTCAACATCGATTATTAGTTTTGGACTTTAAGATAAAGGGACGGATAATAAAAAATAAAGTAAAACGATATTCTAGGATTAGATGGGGGCATTTAGAGAATATTAACAAAAATATTTTTGAGAGTATGATTTTAGATCTTAAGATTTTAGCTGTGCATGAGGATGCTAATATTATGTGAGATAAAGTGGCTAGTGATATTAAGAATATTGCAAAAGATGTGCTTGGAGTATCAAAGGGAAAAATTCCTAATAGTAAAAAGGATCAAAATGGTTATTTGACTCTTTATAAAGTATTAAAATAGTCTCCAACTATATTAAATAATCATTTTAATTCATGAAGTCTTTAAAAGACAATAAGCATAGTCCCATGATAAGATTATTTTTAATCCTCTTTAAAGAATTGAGAGACCAAAATAATCCTTTAATATTGTTGAAGATTATTTTGATCTTTTTGTTGACTATAAAAATATAGAAATAAAAAAAAAGAAGCAAAGTAACGAACCTGCCTCAGAGCCGACCCCACCCTAAACCCTAAAAAAGGAGAGACTTTCAAACAGATGTGGAAGACCCGCGCCATCGATCTTAGATTTGGGTGGATGGTTTTAAAATTCGAATACCTGCGCCGTGATCTTAGATCCGGGCGGATGATTTTAAATTCGAAGCCCCCCGCGCCATTGATTTTAGATCTGCGTGGGATAAAATAAAATTCGAAGACTCCACGCAGTCGATCTTAGATCTTGGTGGGATGGTTCAAAATCGAAAATCCTACGCCGTCGACCTTAGGTTCGGGTAGGAAGAAATTATTGCAAGTGTCGTCCCGATTTCTCCCTCAGTGGAGAGGTGAAGTTGGGAAGCTGTCGAAATTTCCTTAAAATTTTAGATGACAATTCGAATGTTAAATAATTAATTTGGTTGATTAATGTTTATAAAAAATTTTAATCAATTAAAATTAATCAAAATAATTTATTAATTTTGGGAATACATAAAAGCTTTGAATAGATTCAAGACAAAGGAATAACTCAATATTAACATTATCTTCACTATGAATTGAGTTTATCCATTTCTACTTGTATTTGTGACATACAAGAATGAAAATATGAATCAAACGGAGAATACCTCAAAATGAACGTATTTTTATAATCTTTAATCAGCCTTATATCTCGCACTGGAAAAACTTAATGACTCGTGTACATCTCCTATTAAGGGTTAATCTTGCTTCTTATCATTCTCCCAAATGTCACCCTGAATAAAAGAGAGCTTTTTGGACATCATTTTTTATCCAGAAGACTATCTTGAAGTATTTCAAATGTCTCTAAATGAGATTCTTTTTAAATAGATTCCAACATAAGAAGCATTGCATTGAAGATTTTGAAATTGTTGTGAAATTTTAAATACTCAAAATAATTGATCAATTAAAATTAATTGGTTAATTTTTTTAAAATTCAAGAGCTTTTTGTAAGTCCGTGAGTTTTAAAATCTAAGAGTTATTTAAAATATGATATTAATTTTAAAATCTAAGATCAACTTTGAAATCCGAGTTTTAAAATTCGAGAGCTGTTATTTAATTTTTTTTTAATATTTTTTGCTAATTAAATTAATTAATCAAAATTGAATTCTTTATTAAAAAAATAATAAAATATAGTAAAATGCATTAAATAAAATGAAGAGGGGGAAGAATGTTTTTCCACTATTTGGCATATACAAGCTCTCAATACAATCCTTCACAAACTCAAAAACTCTCCAAACAAATAATTCTACCAACTCAAACAAGTACAGAACAACACTCTGCTAGCACCCCAAGATCTCCCCGATACAAGCTCCTATAGCTACTTGTGGGCTCTATCCTCTGCAACTGCAAGCCTCGGCTACTACAACTACTGGCTACAAACATCTACAAACAAACAAATGAAGAGTCAGTACATCATAAATAAATTGAATGAATGCTGATAAATCTAAGCTACTGCAAGTCAATGTTTAAAATTGCATAATCGGGTATTGAGGCGTTTTTTGTTCGTGAGGTGAGGTATAAGCCTCAAGGCGTTTTGAGGCGTAAACTTCAAAATCAAAAAATTGCGTAAACATAAAATAATAAATTTGATATATACTGATGAGTAAATAAAATATAAAATATAAAAATGCACAAGATATGAAGTGAAATCAAAATATTCCAATAATAAGACAATATGAAATATAGTTCAACTCAAACTCCATCTTTTCCAAATCACAATATTCTTTTCATTAACATATAATTCAGAAAATAAATATCAATGACATATCACATAAGAACTCATAAGTCATCAGCACTGTCATCACTAAGGGGTTCTTCATTTGAATCATCAGTATGATGAACTGCTCTCTTCCCTTCCTCCTCTCCTATAGAGTCCAATGTCTCCCAATCAAGTCCTTCCTCAATATCAGTTACTTTCCTCTTCTCTAAATATTTTAAACAATCTCAAAATAAGTAATAGTATAATACATTAATAAAAGTCTAAGAAAGCTTTATTATGTATATATCTTTTTTGATTTGTTCTTGAGTTGTGATGGATGTAGATGCGTTAAGACCATAAAAAAAAATTAAAATTTAAATCTTCATCTTATAATTCAGACGGCGTCACTTCAACTTCATAATCTACAAACCACTCATTATCAGATGTCACATCATCGCAAAGCAAATGATCTTATCATCCATTAATCATTTTTTTTTAAAATTCCTATCTCTGAGTCTCCTGTTATACATAATGTACACCAGTGAATTCATCCTCAATGTGGACAAGCGATTTCTCATTTTTGTATGTATTTGGTTGTAGATACTCCAATTTCTTTCACAGTCAGATGAAGAGTATGTCAAGCCCAAAACTTTCACAACAAAACGCTACAATTCTGGAGTCCCATCGCCAAATTGAATCCACTACTTAACTAATATTTATTTTAGAGAGTTGAGAGTTTAATTAGTGCGAAAAAATAACTTTTAAATAAATATTTAAAACATTAAATAAAATTACCTGGAGATAGTTTGGCAACTATATCCTTTGCTTGTTGTAATACAAAAAAAATCTTCTTTGTTCCTAAAATGTACCAATTGCATGTCAGCATTTGATCTTTTAGTTGCATCACTTATTAGCCGATCAATGCAATGATACAATCCCAATTTTATTTCAGGGTTTGTAGACTTATTCTCTGCATATTGATACTAAGGGTTTAGGTAATAACCAGCTGCATGCAAGTGCCGGTGAAGTTGTAGCTCCCATCTATCATTAATAATTTCCAAATTTCCCTAAAGCTATCCTCTTTGCCTCCTAAGTTGGAGGCAATCATTTTTTTGGCTTCATCCATGGCATTGTAGATAAAATCCATTGTAGGCTTCTTCTTAACATCCACCATCCTTAAAACTTGAACAAAATGTCTAATGGTTGTAATGACATATAAGATACTTTGCCAAAATTTATCATTTAAAATAATTTTTCTAATCTCTTTTCCCTCAGCCTTCTTCGCCCAAGCACAACTCAACCACTGTGTAGATGTGAACATAGCCTCTAAAGGTTGTCTAGCATCTAGCATGCTCTCTAAAGTCAAGTAAGCGATGACAAATCTTGTTGCTGCTGGCCTTAGAATTTCTTTCTTTGAAAATTTTCGCATGAAAGCTAAAACTCATGAGTGGTTGTAAATAAACTTGGTTATTTTTTTACTTTAGTAAGTGTATTCTTATGTTGAGGTAGCTCACAAAGCTTCTCGAAAATCAGATCTATAAAATGTGCAGCACATGAAGTCCAGTGCAGATGTTTCCTCTTCTCCATAAGTTTGTTACCTATAGCCTTGTAAGCACTTGCATTATCTTTCACAACTTATAACCAAATGTTCTCCAACCTCCTCAACAATGTTATCTAATAATTCAAATATGAACTCAACATCTTTGACCTGGTCAGATGCTTCAACTGATCTTAAAAACACAGTACCATAAGGATTATTAATAAGAATCTTAATAAGACTTTTATGTTTAATATCAGACCACAAATCTGACATAATTGTTACTCCTGTTTGGGCCCAAGTCCTCTTCATTTCTCCGATGCTTTTATCAGTACTTTCCAACTCCTTCAGAATCCATGTTCTCAAATCATACATGGTTGGAGGTTTGAATCTTCTCCCAAATGTCCAACTAAGCGAATCATGTTGTAATAGGCAGGTGATGTTGCAACATTAAATATAATTTCATTTTCATAGAAGAATCTGTCTATATCCTTACACACTCTTCTTTGTGCCTCCCTTGCATTTTTTGGGGCCATCTTCTGTGTAGTAGGAGGCATATCCTCTGATGTGTCTACCATATAATGATCTATAAGCCCTCTAGCACCTCTAGATGAAATGGGCTTCATCGAAGAAGATGAATCCCTAATGCTGCACTCACTCGCGTAATAAGAGCCAATATCAACTCTATCCTCAAATTGCTTGTGTGCAAGATGTTTTGACGTGGTAGACTTATTCATGTATGACTTTATCTCATCCCTTACAGTATCAGGAACTTTTGAGCATGGAGCAACATTCTTGTGAGACCCTGAAAGATAATCTTTCATCCTAGTCACACCACCCTTCACAACTTTATCATAGTAATTGCATTTTAGATAGATATATGTTTTATCACTTCCCCTTACATTCACATGAGTGCTATATTTTCATGCTATATCTTTTCTATGACCTGACGCAGCTTTATCCTTACTTCTGACCATCCTTTATGAGAAGAATATATATATTAGTGCAATATATCAAACCCCTAAATATAATGCTTCACTTATTCTATATTAATAAAACTTATATAAGCATGCACTCATGAAAAAGTAGACTAACACTAACAATTACTACTAAAAATAATGAATACAACAATATATCAGTCTGCCGGGGGTCCAAGGGGGCCTGCTCCTTGGCGGGATTCGACCTGCTCGGTCAGGTCGCGGGGTCAAGGGGAAGCACCGCTGCGGGGGTTTCCGGGGGCAGCGCCCCCTTGTACTGAGCATGTACCACTCAGTACCAAGCATGTACCACTCGGTGCCGAGCATATACTACTCGATACCAAGAGGTACTGGCTCGGTACCGAGCATGTACCTAGTGGTGTCGAGCATGTACCGCTCTGTAGCGAGCATATACCTGTTCGGTATCGAGCGGTACTGGCTCTATACTGAGCATGTACCTAGTGGTTCCGAGCATGTACTGAGTGGTACTGAGCATGTACTGAGTGATACCGAGCATGTACCTGCTCGGTATTGAGCTGTACCAAGTGGTACCAAACATTGTTGTACCGAGTGGTACCGAGCATATACCTAGCGGTCTTAATGTGGAAGCAAGCAAACGCTGAACGAAGAGGGAAAAAGGTCGCGATAGAAGATAGCTCCAACCCAACTCGTGGTAGAAGATAACTCAAATCAATAAGCGAAAAGCGACTCAATGTGGAAGGACGCTGACGCATAACGAAGAGGGAAAAAGGTCGCTCGAAGAAGGGAGAAAACCTATTTTCGGGAAATGACGGAAGATCGCGCGGGGGTTGGGGGGTCCGAACCGAACAAATATATATTAGATTAGCATTTTTTTTTTTAGAGGCGGACGCCTCTCAACCGTGAGGCGAGGCGCGCCTCAGTAAAGTTGAGGCGTACGCCTCAAATCTTGAACTCATTGCGTAGGCTTTGAGGCTTAAATGGGCGAAATTGCGCTGAGCCGCACCTCTTATTGCGCAATTTTAAATCATGTTGCAGGTAGAACAGAATACTGGAAAGCAAGAAAATCTAAGTACGAAAAAGCTAGTAGAGCAATAGTGTTGAAAAAACAGGTAGAGTAGTGGACTACTGTAGTAATAAAAAAGACTACGAACACAGAATAACTAAAACAATAACACCAATGTCAGAACTCTAAAGTATCAAAATCACAAACTCAAATCAACTCAAACAAAATACATAATAAATCTCCAAACATCGTACAAGCAACTACTGTCTATCCAAACAATCACTCAAAATATTTGAGCATCCTTGTTTATAAGAACTTGGTTGTAAGACCCACTACCCGGCAACTTTCAAAGGAAAGCAGTAAGTCCGACCTTAGGAAAAAGTTTTAGGTAAAAATTGACCTAACCCTTAACCCCCAATTAAAACATAGGCGACTTCTAATAGAAGTCGTAAGTCCGGCCTTCGAGGGAAATGTTTAGATGATAATACAACCCTAGACCCCTCACTCGGGCATCCTAGCTTATTAGGTTAGGTTGTAAGACCCACCAACGAGCAACTTCTAAGTGAAGTCGTAAGACCGACATCTTAGAAAAATTGTTAAATCAATAACAATGATCCTAAATCCCAAAAAATTAAATTTAAACTTATGGGCATCTTAGTCTATAGGGCTAAGTTGTAAGACCCACTTTCAGGTAATTTCCTAAGGGAAATAATAAGACCTACTCCAAATCCAAACAAAATCCCCGGACAGCCTCGCTATAGAGTTAGGTTGTAAGACTTATCCTTAGGCAACTCATAAATAGAGTAATAAGCCCCAATTCCAAATCAAATTCCCGGGCTACTTTCTATAAAAGTCATAAGTCTCAATCTGAATTTAAATACTTGGGCTACTTCCTAAAGAAGCCATAAGACCCGCTCTAATCCAAACTCCGGGGTTACTTCTAAATGAAGTCATAAATCCCCAAACTAAATTAATTTTTGGGTATTCTAATAGATGTAAACCCCAAACTCCAAACAAAAAAATTAAAACTAAATTCCACATCTAACCACTTCAGTCTACTCGGGATATCTGAGAGGAGGCAACCTATGACTGCTAATCAGATTTCCTGGACAATACAGTCAATGATTTTTAGTGTTGGTGTACTGGAACTATGGTATACCCGGGATGACAGAACTATGGGATCTTGATCAGGTTACTTTTGAGACTAAAATTACTTAAAAGTTATTTCATCCTTTATCGAGAGTTCTCTCTTACGTGTTAAGATGGGTAATTAACTATGAGTGCTTGCGTTCATAGGAAGTAAGGACCCCAGATCTTTAAACCCTGACACTACTCTCAGGGGAAAACTGGTTAATTTCAATCTGACTTGAGGGAAGTGAAATCCTACAGCTGCATAGCAGGATTCATGCATTCGTGCCGCTTTTCTTGAGCCAACACTTTCATAAAGAGTAAATGAATCATTTTAATCCTTTTCATGTTTACTCACATTAACATTATAACTTTTATTAAACAGCCTCAGTTCTTTCAGTTTTTTACACAATAGTTTCAACCAATATTTGCCCAACGATTCATTTTACTCGAAAGCATAGCACAACAGATGTAAAACAACATTGTCAAACAGTGCCTCCATTCGCTAAGAGGTATGGCAAGTGGAAGTACCAATCTACACTTGCCCCCATTGCATGCAAATGCCCACTGTGCCGCTGCCATGCCCATAGAAAAACCTCCACTGGTGTATGGAAAATTTAAGGTTTCTTCTCTTTGTTCTCCATAAAGCCAAATAGGGCCAAGTGCCAAGAGAAACTTGATATCGAGAAATTTCAGCTCCTCTAACATTTCTTAGCAGTAAATATTAAGTCATAGTTTTTTTTAATAATATTATTTTCAGATTTACTGCGTGGGATTGTACTTCATTACACATTATTTTTATTAGATAATTATTCTACCTTCTTTTCCTTTTAGATACTCCGGTCCAACTGTTCACTTTGTAGACGAACATTATGATACAGGTCGAATCTTAGCTCAAAAGGTTGTCCCAGTTCTAGCAAATGATACTGCCGAACAGCTGGCTGCAAGAGTTCTTTGTGAGGTGCTTCTTTAGCTTATGTTCCTTTAGACATAATCGCCTGCTTTTCTTGCTTTAAACATTTCACATGTTTGCTTTAAAATTGTGTGTCTACTCTTAATTCACGTTTTTACTTCAAAATTGTATTTTCTTTAAGGCTTCGTTTGGGACGGCTTTCTTACTGCTTCGTAAAGTCGATTTCTAGTACAAAAATTTTAATTTTTTAACTAAAAAATTGTTTTAAGAAGCAAAAGAAAACCTTCCCAAACGAAGCCTAAGTCACATGTTTTACTTCAAAATTCAAGATGTCTTTTATATTTTACAGTATGTTAAATTAGTTGGTGTATGAGTGATGGTGATTGTGATAACCAAGGTAAATGTGGATAGAAAGGTTTCTAATGCAACCCAAAACGCACTTCCCAGCTTCCTCCCTAGCTAAATTGTTTTTCTTTTCTTGTATATGTTTAATTTAAAAACTTGTCCCATTTGCTTAAAGAACAATTTAAACTTGAGCATGACCTATTAGGAGATATCGAGCTGAATTGACTACCATATTTATGAGAATTACCAAAGAAAATATTACTGCATTGATAATTTTTTGTTAGATTATATTACTTCTAAATATTATGAAATTTTGTTAAAACCAACAATGTTTTTGTTTTAGGAGCATCAGGTGTATGTGGAGGTGGTGTCTGCATTATGTGAGGACAGAATAGTCTGGAGGGAAGATGGAGTTCCTCTTATCCGGAGCAAAGAGAATCCAGATGAGTATAACTAATACCTGTTGATAACCTTCCCCAGGTATAATGCAGAGAGATGCCAAAATTTTTTTTTTTGGAAATATTTTCATCTTATTTTCATTTTTCAACGAAGTTGGGAAAAAGCTGCATATAAAATCTTTTCAATGTTTTTACGTGGTCTTTTGTTAGACCGGTCTAGCCGGTCCACACAGTACCGGCTCAGGCGGAAGAATTTCGCCTCTCCTGTACGCTGCTCAAGCTGCCAGGTCCAAGGGAGCTGTTAGGAAGGATTTTTGAGGGAGTTAGGAGGGAAATTTGAATATAAGGACTGTTTAGAGATTTTATTTTTGATTGTATGCATTAAATAGTTTGTTTTTCTAAGGTTAGGGCAGCTTGAATTTGGCTGAAATTTGAGATCTCCTAGGTTTAGATTTTTGGGCTCTTGCGGCGTCTAGAGATTTGGGAGAGATAGATTCTCTTCTCGAATAGATGATCAATTGTATCTTGTTATTTTTCTTCCGTTAGTTAGATTATCGCAATAAAATTACTCTTTTCTTATTTTTCCTTTGGATTTGTGGTTCGTTCTATCTGTTTTCATCAAGATAGTTAGATTTTACTTAGGAATTCCAAGTATTTCCTAACATTTTTATTATTTGATTATAGTTAACGTGTATTATTGTTTCAATTTATGTGTCTTGTGTGTTGAGGTCTTTTTTTTTTTGAGAATTGAGGGCATTTCTATATAAACCAAACGTTTTTTTTTTTAACTCAAATTTGGATTCAGTTTGATTGCTAATTTTTTTTTAATACGACAACAATATCAAGCCTTTATTCCACTATGCGGGGTTGGCTACATGAATCCTTTTTCTCCATTGTGTTCTGTTAAGAATCAAATTCTCATTTAAATTTAATAAATAAAGATCATTTATAATATTTTCTAACCAAGTCTTTTTCATGTCTAGCTCTACCTTTCTTAACGTAAGTCAAATCTAATGCATCTACTCTCCTAACCAAGTCATCTGAAGGCCGATATTTTATGTGAACAAACCTTTTAAGGCAACTCTCTCTAATCTTACCTACCACTGGAGCTACTCCAACCTGTTCACGTATATACACGTTTCGTATTCTGTCTCTAAGGGTAAAACCATTCATTCACCCAAGCATCCTCATCTCTGCAACACTTGACTTAAATTTATGCTCTTTTAATAGCCAACATTTTGTGCCATAAAGCATTGCTGGTCTCATCACCATCTTATAGAATTTTTCGTTAAGTTTGAGGGGTACTTTTCTATCTCACAACAAGCTTGATGCATTTCTCCACTTCAACCATCCAACTTGAAATCTACTATTAATATCCCCATCTATTTCACCATCACTCTGAAAAATAAATTCGAGATATCTAAAACGTGTACTCTCCTTAATTACTTGATTACCCAAAGTCACAAGCCCACCACTAGATCTATTACTACTAAAATTACACTCCATGTATTCGGTTTTAGATCTACGCAAATGAAAACATTTAGACTCTAAAGTTGACCTCCATAATTCAAGTTTACATTCAACTCCCTCTCAAATGTTATCAACAGAATTATTTTTAATGATTTGTTGACCCATACACCAAAAGATGAGCAAAAAGTGGCAAATTAAACGACGCGCGCGTCTGCGTGGCATGTCGACTAAAGGGTCGAATGACCTCCGATCGTCAAACGGAATGTGTCGTTGCGATCAGAGCGTCGAATTCGGCCAAGAGGAAGCCCATCACAGACAAATCAGACTAAAACGATCAAAATCGGCGACCGGTACCCTAAATCGACACGCGATACCGTCCAAATGACTTCCGATCGCAAAGCGAATTTTTCCGTTGTGTTCGAAACATCGAAAATACCAAGAACGGCTATAATTTTTCTTGATGAGAGTCACGAAAAAAATTGGCTCGTATCCCATGACGAGGCACGGATTTCAGGAAAATGCACGCAAATTGAGACTGCGACGCACAGAATTTAAGTAATTTGAAATTGTGTTGCATTTTTAATGTCTCTAATAATATTAATAAATTATTATTATTATTAATAGCATTTAACAGAATTTAAATAAAAAAATATAAAATAGAATAATATAAAAATATATAAAAAATCAAAATCAAATCAAAATACCTCATATCTTTTCGAATTGACCCGAAAATCCCTTAACCCAAGAAGCCATATAACCTAGCCCAACAGCCTATCTCATCCATCTAAACCATCTCAAATAGAAACCCAAATCTCCTAGCCATCTTTCTCTATTTAATATTACTCCTAATTTTATCATTAGCATTGTTAATATTTAATATTAGTATTAATATTTCTGTTGTTGTTACTATTATTGGTGTCGTTGTTGCCTTAAAAAAAGAGAAAGGAAGAGATTAAAAAAAAAGTAAAAATGAGGGGAATTTCTTTGTGATTTGATTGTCGCCCTACTCTTGACCTCGACACTGCTACCGTCGACCTCATTTGCTCTATTATAATGTCTTCAAATTCAAAACCCTACAAAAATCTCACTTTCGACGCTTGGGGCATGTCGGGGGACCCCTCATGCACGCTTTTCTCTAGCGTGGTGAGAGGGTGCAACACTTTCGACGAAGCTGGTGAGCCTTGCGCACGCTTTTCATAGCGTGGCGGGGAAAATTGCGTTTCAAACATGTACCTTGAAGACCGATGCACGTTTTTCTCGGGCGTGGTGAGTTCGAAGATTATGGTCGCAGTGTCGTCCGACATCGACCAAGCACGTCTTTATATGACTTGGTGGGAAGGCTAAGACTCTCGGATTTTCTCCTAAATGGAACGACGCCTAAAGGCTGCCGAAATTCAAAGCACATGGAACCTAATTTGAACAAAACGACACAAAACTTGAACAACTACAAGGGATCTGATCTAAACAAAAATGAATAACAGGGGACTTGCAAACTTAAGTGGGCCATAGGGAATCGAACATTAATTTAAAAAATGCACAATCAAAATCTAAATGCTAAATAACAAATCGAGTTATTCAACTAAACATTAATGAACAAGCATAATATGAGTGGTTAATTGACATGTCAAACTTGCTCGCTAGCAAAATGAGCAACATACGACGAGTGTAGTAGTTTACCTACGCTTAATAATCAATTAGCTTGCAAATGAGCATATTAATCCACTTACAAGCAAGGACAGTGGATGAGCTGTGAATGTGATGGGTCCCCTACAAACATATACAAGCAACATGCAACAAAACCTATGACGTCCCCTTCAATCAATAACAACCAGCTTGCAAATAAATGCAGTAATTCCTGAAGTCAACATATAGCGAGCTTAGTAAGTTGCCAATGAACGTATGCGAGGGAAATCTACAATGAGTGCTACATCACCCTCGTACTCAACATCAATATGCAAACAATCATATTAAATGATGCAAGCAATAACGAGTGACATGTAAGGGATGCAAAATGTCTACAAGAAAAAAAAAGAAAGCTACAAAGGAGATAGCCTCCTTGCTTCCAATGTCGATCGAGCGAACCCACCAAGCCATCTACGACTAATGACAATGGACATGGTGTAAGTACAACGAATACCCTACAACTACTGACAAGGGGGCTGCAAAAAACATATCAGTCCACATACAAGCAACAATATCAAATATATTGCAAAGATTAGGGTCCTTTGCGAATAAATAGAAATCAATATATAGATGAACATAAGTCATCAATAGTTTACATCAACACACAAACGAATGTGTTAGCTTGCCCACAGACAATCAAATCTCTTGCAAATATACACGGTGCTGCATACGATAAACATTGCGCCTACCGGTAAGGGCAGAAAACATGTCGTATACACAATAGTATTCCTACAAATGGTAGCTAGCAACAGACAGTGAATGCTACAACATCCTCACAGTCAACAACTATCCAATGGAAGGCTAATACACCGATCCCTTGCAAGAAAAAGATGACCAATCTGCGACAAGTGCAATCACTTATGAGTCGGTGTAGAAGACTTGCCACATAAATGACAAACTGCCTACAAGCAAGGGAAGCAAGTATACGACAAATACAAGCTATTGTTAGAGACTCATTAGTGCACAACAGTTTACTTGCATAAAGCAACAAATGACCTGCAGCGCAGCACAACACCACCGAATTCGCAACACTGGTACAAGCAGACAAAAGGCATTTGCAGATGCCAAAGGCACTCTTTTAATAATAGTCGTTTGCACAATTAATTATAGTAAAATATTTAGATTCCCCCTCATTCATTAAAATTTGATTTCCCGTTTGGGCCTCAACGAGCGTGTTGTATGTATACCTGTGACATTTGAGGATAATGCTCGGGTCGAGAAATGAAGCTAAAGATTGAGCCCGATTCTTTTATGTGGGTAGATAAGAGTCGACATGGTTTGAGCTATCAAATAATTATATTGTTACAACACTGACTAGAATATTTATTTTATACGTTCATATTATGCCTTCAAAATCCTCAACAAAGAAAATTCACTAACAAAACCATAAAACCGAAAACGAACATGATCCTTTGTCGTCAAGTTGACAGAGTCGACAAGGTTCAACTAATAAAATGAAATCGCTCATGAATACTTCGATGATGGCCGTGTTTACAGAAAATCTCAAACCAGAAAGGATCATAAATATAAAAATGCGTCTCAAATTCTCATAAAAATACAAAATTAAAAAATCACCAAAACCCTAAGATGTTTAAAATTGAAATTAATCATGAAACACTTAAGGCAAAATCCATCAACTCTTCACAATAATTTGTCGAGATTAATAAATTTAAAAATTAGTTCATCTTACAAAGAGCTAATGTTTGGTCGAGAATATTACTATGATTCATTCTCAAACAGTCTCTTGCTGTAAGGACGTGGTACGTGTCCTCTAACTGGCGATTTCGCTGCCAAATGGTACCATAGATAAACAGTTATGATCGGGACCCTCTAAACTGAGTGGTTTTGCCGCCAAATTGCATCATTGAATTACGGTCATGGTTAGCACCCCTATGTTCTCTAACGGTGTTAAATCATTGAGCAATGAATTAATACGATATGATTGATAGGACACAAAGCCCTTTGTTAGCTAAGGTGGATTTAAATGTCCCATTAGGGAAATATTTACCCTAGGTTTACAAAGTACTCTTGGACAAAGCAACCCATGACTGTTGATAAGGATCATTTTGTTAGGTTGGGTCGACTACCTCCTCTGACTAAGTAGACCAAAGACCACGATGGCCCAGGATGACGGAACCATGAGATCTTGATCTGGCTCATCATCATTCCCCCCATCATCCGCCTTAAGAGTAAGGTGGTGAATTTCTAATTTTAAATATCAAATTTTCAAATACCAAATCATGCTACTACTATACGCCAGATACTCTATATCTATTTGACGACTAGCCTTAATCGAAAGTTCTGTCTCATTATCGGGAGGGGTAATTAGCTATAGGGCTTGCACCTATATGAAACCTGAACTCAAATTATAAAGTCCCCTCAAAATGAGGACGGAATCTTTGGGTAATATCTAATTCAAAACCCAATCTGCCTTCTGAAAATTTGCCTCATAACTTAAATGTTAAAACTCTCATCGACGACCCGAAAAAGAAAAAAAAGGACCGCAGAGAGGCCGGGGCGTGAATTTTTGGAACCAACAAGATTATAAAAATTTTTGTATTCAGTTTCAATTTTGTTTTTTTTTTTAATTATTAAAATGCTAATAAAAATATAATATTAAGTTATTAATATTTTGATTAATTTTGCAATTAAAAAAATGTTAGAATTTTTATTTTTTTATTTTGTAAAATTGTACTATTACTGGTAATGACTCCCAATAATGCTAAAATCATAGTCAATGCCACTATATGGATCATGTCACAAGGTCAAAGTCGTAATCATCGTTTCCTTGTTGAAGTTGAATTTTAATTAAATTATTTTATTTTATCCATCATAACTTATAAGTTACAAAATTTCAAAAAATAGATTTAATTAGCCCAAAATTCTATTCATCTCATAGATAAATTTGAATGGATAGAATATATATGTATAGTTTTTTGGATCATGATTGTCATGATGCTTGATAAGCATAAGATATGTTCTTTTAATATTTTTTTATTCCATGATTTGGATGATGCTTGGTTGGTTCAACGTCGATTTGCAAGAGGTTTCATTGATTCTGTTTAATTTTTGTTCATGTAGATATCTGGAGCGGCCCCTGTAGCGAGTGGTTCCTACAGCGAATTGCTATATCCCATTATTGGCTTATTCAATGATTACTGTTGCCTGGTGATATTCCCTGTTCTCGCTGCATATGCGCTGCTTTGTCCACAGGTTGGTTCCACCTTTCATTACTGGCTAAGAAGGTTTACTGTGGAGTTTTAAGTGATCTACGACTAAACTAGTTCACCGATCTTCTTGATTTTTTGAACTGAAAATTCTGAACAACCAACAAGAAAACGGAAGTTTATAAATACTAAAACCTGACACGCTTAAAAGAAATTTTCTCGCATTGCAAACTCAAATTTTGTTCAACCGTGTGATTGTTAAGTGGAGTGTTCATTCCTTCTAGCGATGCAATGTGACTGAAATTTCAAGGTCTCTTCTATTGATATTTGGTTTGGACACATGGACTGATTACCATTGCAATCCTTTTAAGTTTGATGCAATCTCGAATCATTGTTAGATGATTATCATTGCAGTTATTGAGCAAACTCAAGCTCATTGGTGCATCCAATCCTTGATTATCACTGTAGGAGACTGGTGGATATCGTCATTCTTGTAAACCCTAAGGAAAAAAAAAAAAAACAAGAGAAGAAAAAGGAGAAAAAATAACAACTTTTTGGAAAAGATTGGAGAATGCATGTGAATAATTGAAGAGCTATCGATCTTTCGTCTAGCTATTGTAAACCGCGTGGCGTCTATTTTTGACCGGTTTTGTCTTTAGATCTTGGTGCATCACCTTACTCCTAAAACCATATTTTCTGGTTCATTTCCATTTATCTGTAGTTGTTTGGCTTATGCATTTTTTATTTTAGCTAAATTTAGGTTCGAACCCTTCTCATTAAAATCAGAAGGCAGAATCAATAATTATATAAATAAGAGGGAAAAAAAATCAGAAATTAACAGAGAGCTTGAAATAATTTGGCAGATAACAACTATCATTATATATATATATATATATATGGTGTTTAATGGTTTTTTTTAAGTAAAATACATGAATAAAATGAATTTTATAACAATTTCCTTCTCCATTGTCATACTATTGAACATGACATATAAGCAATGAAACTTTTGAAAATGGGGAGCATCAAAGTATAAATTTCAGTAAAATTAATGTAAATTAGGTTTCATTTGGAATAATTTTTTTACTATTTTCTAAAATAGTTTCCTAATATAAAATTTCTTTTACTTAGTGTGCTCGAATTCAAAGTGGCAGCAGATAAAAAAAAACTTTCAGTTAAGCTTATGCCATAATTATGCTTCTATAAAGTATAATTGACTAAAAGAATATTAATTAATGAGTAAACACTGGCAGCATTGATAAGACTACCTAACAAAAGTGGTTAGCAAACTATGAATTGCATCTAGACTAGGAAAAGCTAATCAGAAGCTAAGTGCATGGAAAAGTGGTAAGCCACAAATTTGAAATTAGTGGAAGCACTGTCTACAACATATCAATACTTTATCTAGAATTCAAATGCAAAGACTTTGAGCTTTCAAATCAACAAAACACTTATTTGCCTTAGGCACACTTTGGCAAGTTGAATTGAAGCTTGAGAATAATTGGTGGTCATGTTACACCACGACGCCTTTATAGTTTATTATCTCTTGCACTTATGAATTGCGAGTTGTTATGTTGCGGTCCCTAGAATCATTCAATCAAGCTATCTTAAGCGAAGTCTTTTACTAGAAAACAAGCTGAAGTTGAATCTCATTAAGCCTTTATTTAGCACATATTCTTAATTCAATTTGCTCTGAATATTTGTAGAAGGTCATATGACGATTAATGGAACTCCTTGGGCTTTATGACTTTAGACCTACTGTAAGTAGATTGGGTTCAGTAATTGATTCGAGATGATAAAATCATAGGATCTTAATTTAAATTTATCTCCAATCTGCAGTCATATTCCTTAACCAAATTTAACTAATTAAGAGTTATGAAGATAATTAATCATAGGGATTTGTACTCATAAGAGCTCTTACCTCGATATGTCTCTTGAAATCACCATTGAAGTGTTTGGATGATCATCATGCAACAATGCTCGGATAGCACGACAATCATTCTAGCTTATGCACCTCTTGAACATATTAAATATGTATATGTCCCAATCAATTTTGATGAAGCACATTTTGCTAGCACCTATCTTGTGATTTTAGCCTAAATTTGACATTCAATTCATATCATAAGTACCACCAATTTTAGAGCCATTAATGTTGATTTGTTTGTCACATTCAAATTTCTATTAGTGTTTTAGAGTCTCCATAGATTCATTGCTTCTTATTAAGGGCATGGTTGTCCATCATGGATCTCAAAAGCAATTCAAATTTGCCTTCTACGCTTTAATTGAATAAAGTACTAAAATGCTCAAAATCTATTCATATCAAGTGATAATAATTATAATATTACTATCCTCACATTCTTATTGTCACAAATATTAAATGGCTTAGAGTCAAAATAGAGAAAATATCAAAATTAATTATCATAATCATTCAAAGTTTATGATGAATTATGAAAGATGCATGAATCATAGTGATTTTATGTCCAAGTTAGAGGCAGCTCAACCCTTTAGATTTCGAGATGATTTAGTAATTGTAAAACACACATATGACATCTAATCCAAGAGTGCATCTATATCATCACAAGAACAAACTATTGACTAATTTGAATATGACTGTTACTCTTATGAATATGAAGAAGGATAAAAGTTTTTGCACCACTGTCCAAGTAAAAGATATATAAATCATGTAAAAATATTTCGAACTATCTTTGTTAACCCAAAATATCTTTATATGATTATTTAGAGTCAAAGTTCATGTTATCTTCGAAAATTATAGTTTAAAAACATGTGATACCAATCATAATTATAATGATCAAGAAGGGCATTTTATTAAATGTGAGATTGTTGGTCTATTTTTACATTTTAGTCAAATATTATATTAAAAAATAATTATTTTGATAATAAATATTTTTTAAAAGAGTCCATTTGACTTAGCATTGCATTTAGTATTAAAATGAAAAGGGTGTTAGACTTGAAAGCTAAACACATAAATAACCTTAGTGACTTGATTTCTCAATAATAACCATATCAGTGATCATATAATAATTTCATTTTAATATTTAATACAAGAATTGTTTGCAGGCATTTGAATATAATTTAGACATTAAAAATTTAAGAATGTGTACACATTATAGGATAGACACATTCAATTCAAAGTCACCAAACTTTGTCCAAGCCCCCTAGTGAAAGTGATTCCTCACTGGTTGTTTCCTACCATTATCAGTATCCCTACTCTCTCCTTACTCTTATTAGGATCATCGGTTATAATTTAATTAATCAAGCTCAAGTTTACGTTCAAATTAGACTCGATTAATTAATCAAGTTCAAGCTCAAATTGGAGGTGGCTCAAGCTTGTTGACTTATTTACAACCCTAAACTTATAAGTAGAGGATGGAGAGGGGTGGTAATGTTGATAGAGGAAGTATTTCCAATGAGTGATGATTTTCGCATTGAAAGCTTATATTCTATAAATCACTCTTAAATGTAAAACATGAGATCAAATATCAAACAATCTCTTAAAGATTCGCCCAATGCTCTAATTCTCTCTTTCCAAAAGTTACACGTTATAACTCCGATGTTCCAAGCAACCTTTTTTTTATCCTTATTGTCTCATCATGTAAGAAAAAGGGTCAAATTCTTTTCTCCATTGTACCAATAAAAGATATATAAATCTTGCAAAAATTATTCAGACTATCTTGAATCTTCATTAACTAAAAACGCTTCTATGTATGCTATTAGGTAGATCTAGCCATTAAGTTCCTGTTCTCGTTGAATTTTTTTTTTCAGGCAGATGATTGCAATAGTTCTAAGAAACACAATAGCAATTGTAATTATGACGATCGTGAAGATCATTTAATCAAAGAAAAAAGTAATTATCCCAAGTTTGAAATATATAGCATTTCATTTAGTATTAAAATGCAAATGTGTGAAGAATTTTAAGGCCAAGTGCATCTGAAACTAAAGCTTAATGACTTAATTTCTCACATGATAACTACGTCATCATAATAAAATATGACGAATGCAATGATATCATCATGCATCATAATGATCATAATCTTAGAATAATTTCATTCACTTTTAATACTCGAACATGTGTACACGTTTACAAGTATAATTTAATCATAAAACTTTACTTATGTGTACAAAATTATAAAGTAGACTCATCCAATTCAAAGTCAACACCAAACTTAGGCCAAGACAATGAATTAAGACAGCTGAGATCAACTTGCTCTATGCTGGATGGTGAGGAGGGCCCCTTCTGAAAATACTTCCTCACCGGATCATCTCCCTCTCTTGCTGTCACTTCTGCCCTCTCTTTAATCCCATCATGATCATCAACACCATTATCGTACAATCCTAACTCTTCCTCTAAGTCAGTAAGCCATCGCTCGCACTCGTTTATGGGGATTTCAACAATGTTATTTGTATCATTTGTCATTGACATCAATGATGGTGGCATTGACATAGAAACATCATCTAATACATCCCATATGTCTAGGTGGGGGTCGATGGGGATCTTTGGATGTTCTCACTATACATTTGCAAGATGATGTACCTTGGTGTATGCTTTTTGCTGATGATATTCTTCTTGTTGATAAGGCTAGAGAGGGAGTTGAAGGTAAACTTGAATTATGGAGGTCAACTTTAGAGTCTAAAGGTTTTCGCTTGAGTAGATCTAAAACGAAATATATGGAGTGTAGTTTTAGCAGTAATAGTCCTAGTGAGGGGATTGTGACTTTGGGCGATCAAGTCATTAATAAGAGTACACGTTTTAGATATCTTGGATTTATTGTTCAGAGTGATGGTGAAATAGATGGGGATATTATCAGCATAATTCAAGTTGGATGGTTGAAGTGGCGGAATGCATCGGGCTTGTTATGTGATAGAAATGTACCCCTCAAACTTAAGGGAAAATTCTATAAGATGGTAGTGAGGCCTGCAATGCTTTATGGTGCCGAATGTTGGCCTTTAAGAGAGAAGCATAATACTAAGTTAAGTTTGACAGAGATGAAAATGCTCAGGTGGTTGAGTGGCTTTACCCTTAGAGATAGGATACGAAATGAGCTTATACGTGAAAAGGTTGGAGTAGCTCCAGTAGAAGATAAGATTAGAGAAAGTCGCCTTAGATGGTTTTGGTCACATAAAACGGCGGCCTTGTGATGACCCGGTTAGGAGAGTAGAGGTATTAGATTTGACTTGTGTTAAGAAAGGTAGGGGTAGACCTAAAAAGACTTGGTTAGAAAATATTAGGAATGACCTTTCTTTATTAGATTTAAACGAGAATTTGGCTTTTAATAGGACTCAATGGAGAAAAAGGATTCATGTAGCCGACCCCACGTAGTGGGATAAAGGCTTGATGTTGTTGTTGTTGTTGTATATATATATATATATATAATTTAGTTTTTATATTAACAAAAGCAAGAATAGTTAAGAAAGAGTATATTTGTATAGTTGAACATCCATAGACCCAATTGAAGTTGAAGTCTACATGGTTCATATGTAGTATATTCGGCTCGAGAAATGCTTATCGAGGCTTTTGAAAACTCACCCAAGTGAACGACACCCTTGTATAGGCTTGGTGACTCCCTCGAGTTAGGTCTCTAATATTCTAGGTTAGGCTGAGTAGTATGACATTATGAGGTTATCAATTAACATACATTTGTGTTATTGGGCTATACAGCTCCTTGAGTCTTATCATTATATTATAGCCATATATTTAACT